TTATTTTTAATAACCAGCAAATAGATTTTGATAAGGTGCTAGAATTGATTAAATTGAGAAGTTGTTGATGAAATAGAACTAGGATTGACTTTCATAGATTGGATAAGGCAACTCACTCCACATGATTTTTTTAAAGTGAGTTGCTGTATTATTATTGCTTATAACTTAATATGTATATAGGTTGGGACATTCCTTATACTCTTGCTTAATATATTTCTTTGCTGTTAAAAAAATGTGTTTAACTTATATTAAAGAAGTTTATTACTCACTTAATTACGTATTTGTTTTGAATTTGCTTCAACGTAGGTTGACATAAATTTGAGTGAAACATTTGGAAAGCGCTTTCTTAGAAAGGAATTCCACTTGCTTTCAGAAGGGTGAAACAAACATGCTGCAACCATTTTTATTCGAATTCCAGAAGACTATATCAAAAGTTAAATTCTAATAAAATCGTCAAATATCTCCAATAATAAGAAAAATTATATATTGACTAACTTGCATAGAGAGTTATTTTATTAATAAATAATTTAAAAGAAAAAGTTATTTTTATGTTCATATACTAATATTCTTACTCCCTTATGAGATAAAATTTTCTTGTTCTATACTCGTATTGTTACAAATTTAATGACAACAAGGCATTGCATATATTATTCATGATAAGTTAGATTTATGAGTCAATTTAGCCTTCACAGTTTAAAGACTCAGTAGATCAATTTTAGTTTGATGGAAGTGATGCTTGATGACACTAAGAATGTCTATAAAAATACTCCAATGACTAAGAATGAACGTCAACAAAGTGACAAGGTGAGTCATAATTATAACATCCAAATATAGGCACGAGATAACCTTAAGAACAAGGAGTAAGTCCCTCTAACCACCAAAGATTTTGAAATTTAGGAGATTTGAACCACTCAAGTAGTAATATGCATATTTTTTTGGTAAATTGTAAAAATTTAACATATAATAAAATATGAGTAGGTAATACTACGTAAGCTAGTGTGAGAATCGGGATAGATGATAGAAATTTTTACTGTTAAATTTAAAGAATATTGTAAGATGCAGGTTGAGTAACATATTAAATTTAAAATTGCTCTTTTAACTCTAGAAAAACTCTAGATAATTGAAACTATCCTAGGTTTGATTAGTTAATTTGAACTTATAAGTATTAGATCTTAAATAGAAAAAAAAACTTATTTTTCATTCACTTAGTCATTATCAAACCCATGCTAGGCAATATTTTATAAATAAATGACATTATTTGGCATTTTTGTCATGTTATTAGGCAATAGTTTATAAAGTAAAAATTGATTAAATTTCAGCTGGATCAACTTATAACTGTAAGCCTATAATCAAATCAAACTAAACGAAATTAAGGTTTTTGGTCAAGCTCTCACATTCGGGTGGACTAAGTTCAACCTAAACTTAGGCCAGTTTTAACAACATTAATTTTTATTGTAGTTTACAAATTTACACATATTAGATAATACTTTAAATGCCGAATACTTCAAAATTCCATGACTTGAGAACAATTTAAAGGAAGGCTCCTAAAGTAAATAGTAAACCTTTTAAATTGGCCATAAGCTCTGACCAATAAAGCTGCAAAATATATATGTAAGTGAAGAATAGAATAACTTTGATAAGAATTATAATTACTATCCGTTTAATAATTATTTATAAATATTAAATTTCATCAATTTAATCACTAAATAAGATTACATGTTTATAATAATCATTCATGTCAAATCAAAATTTAGACAAAATTACAAAATTTTCTTTGCTTCCATTTTCCTTTCAATCTAAATTTTAAAGTTTCTTCCTTCCGCTCACCTTCCTACCATCTACCAAATAAAGGGTAAGTCTTCTTTCTCCCGTGTGCTATTATTAAGATGCCGATTTATTAGATAATGCTATTAATCAATAACCATAAAAGTGGCATTCAATTCTAGATTGTGATTTCAGAGTTTGAAAATTTTCAAACCGTTTTATTCGTCAACTTATTATACATAAACTACTGTATTAACATGTTACCATTATGTTTTTTTAGTCTTTTTTCTTTTAGAAAAAAGGTGAAATTATTCTTCACTTTTCTATAACTCATACAACACACTTTTTACCCTCTGTCTCTTCATCACATCACTCCTCTTATCACACACTTCTCTTTGTTGTCTTCCTACCCCTCTCTTGTGAGTAAAAATTGTTGTATAAATACAATTTATTACCGACAAATGTATTGATAAAAACACAAAATTGGGCCATAAAACTCACTCTTTGGAAATTCGGCCCACCGTTACCCTGTATCCAAGTAAATTACTATAGTTGTGACTGCAAACAGATCATTGTAAAACGAGCTCCTAAGAAATTACTTAAAAGCTGGACTAATAAACTATTCTCCATAAATATAGGTGTTATTGAGCCACCAGGCAGAGCATAAAAAGCTGATATGAAGAGCTACAAAGAGGTGGTGGGGCAGCACAGCAATCCAGAGAAAATGATGCAACTGTTCACTTCTAAAAAGGTAGACAGGGGACCCCTTCTTTCAACCCCACCTTCACAAGCTCCAACTTTCTCAATTCTACTATAAAAATTCATAACCAACTCATTTTTCTTCAAGTGGGCCCATTATATCCACTTGTTCACGTACACCCATACCACCGTTAATTTATAATTTTGTTATTATTTACATTTTATATATATATATATATATATATATATATATACATATTTGGTGTTTTATAATGTCATTAATAAACCATTTAAAGGAAGAAGCTGACATAGGAAATATCAGCACATAGGAAAGATACAAATTGAAATCGGTCTATAACTTTGAGTAACGTCATGCAAATATTCTTAATCTGACCTATTATTAATTGATTATAAAGACGAAATTTCGGTATGGTACGTGTATGTAGGAGCTTTCATAAATGTAACCATGTTGCTTGTGGTATTAGTGGTTATAATCTCAAGAGATCAGTTGAAAAAATAAGGTATTCTCAGCTCAAAATCAACTCTTAGTTCATCTTCCCAGGGTAGGGTTTTGGTTGTTTCCCTTATTTTCTAATGAAAATTGGAGTTTTACAGTAATTGTAATCGCATAAATATCTATATTGATCATACTGTCTTAATCTTACAGAAGAAATTTGCAAGATTGTTTTTCCGCGAGTCTGTCCAATTTATTTTACTGTATACAAATGCTGAGGGGGGGAAAAATCCTCATAGAAATAATAATTGAATGCATCCCTCCTAGCAATATTCATGTTGATACAACATTACTTGATCGCTCTTCTATATATCATTTTGTGTTTGTAATTATCTGGGGTTTTTTTTTGTTGGAACATGGTAATTTTAAAGAAATTATTAAAATAGGATATATATATATATATATATATATATATATAACATTTTTTTTGCGAGCATTTTTTGTTACATCATTTTAAGTATCGATCTTTTGACTAATTTTTTAGATTTAAATATATTTTAACTACTTTTAAATAAAACTTATTTCAAATATAATTTATTAATTTTTTTTAATTCCTAACCATTTATTTTTTTAATTTTGTACATGATTTTAATTTCTGTAAGTTAAGTTAAATAGCGACGTGACTCACATTTTGCTAAGTCACCTTTAATCTATTGCCTACACTTCACTCTTAAATTAAAAAAAAAATAAGATTGAAGCGTACAATATTTTAAAATTAAAGTTCCTTGTACTTGAATCTTAATTTTTTTATCTTTTTATTTTAAAAAATAAAATATTTATATAAATTTGTGACGTAAAAATTTAAGAATTAAGTAAAGAAGAATATTAGAGATAACGTGACTAATTGTAAGTCACATCACTATTTAACTGATAAGAGTTAATGTTAGGTACGAAATTTAAAAAAAAGTTAGTTAGGTATTAAAATATAAAAAATTAATAAATAATGATTTGAAATAAACTTTATTTAAAAATAATTAAAACATATTTAAGTTATTTTTAATAATAAAAAAATAAATATCAATTGTATCCGTCTTTAAAATGACCGACATTTATTTACCTTCATAATTGAAAAATGGACAGAATATATGTGATTGTGCAACAAAGATGAACGTAATATATTCATTTTTTTTTTCGTTCTACTTGTCAGAATCAGATAAGATATTTTGGTAGGCTAATTACCCCTCAACATAATTGTAGCGTCTAATAAGAAAGAGATAGGATAAGTTATATTACTCTTCAACTAAGCGAAGCAGCTAAAAGAGAGAGTCTTATAGTATATTGGTCATCAAGTTGACATAATTCGGTTTTTCCAAAACAAACATGCCCAATTACACGTGTAACTAATTTGATGACTGGGTAATTAAACGGGTTGAGTTTAAACAGCAGCTCTTTCTTACACTCCACATATATTCTGTACCTTATTTTTTTTAATTATGAACGTAAGTAAGTGTAAGATCATTTAAAGATCGACACTAATCTTTTAATAATAAAAAAAAATAAGTATCGGTCTTTATATTAATAAAAAAAATAAGTGTCAATCTTTTTAAAACTGACATTCAAAATGATGTAACAAAAAAAATACTCAAGACAAGAAAAATGTTCTATACATACCCTATTATTTGGTAACAATTTCATTTTATTTAGTGTGCAACGCCTCCCTTTCAAATCAATAGTTTACTTGAGCCTAGTTTATCCTACAAGATGTTGGTGATGTCTTCTTCTATCCTAGCATGGCACTCTAGTTTCGTTTGGAAGCATGTCATTGATCAGAAATAAGTTTCAAGAATTATTTTAATCCAATTTAAAAAAAAAAAAAAATACAACTTTACTTTATCATTTCACTTTCAAATTGTCGAATCCAATCCTAACGCAACTTTGCTGTCTTATTTAACCATTTTAAAGAGACATTAGTTTTAATTTAACTTTGCACATTTTGTATAAAAAGGAGATATTTGAAGAATAAGAGGGAAAAATATGAAATAAGATAAGTAGCATGATGAAGATAGAGAAAAACAATATTGCAATAAAAAAATATTGTAAAAAGTTATTATATAAATAATATTGCTCTTCTAAAAAGCTAGGAAGAAAAGTGTAACGGTAGTGCAACAATGGTCCTATGGTACAGAGATTTTTTGTGCTCATGTGCCCTTGCCCGATGGAAACACAAAAAAAGGAGATTGAGTGAACAAATTGAACTGTAAGTCAGTACAGTTGAACAGTTGAACACACTGTCCACTGCAATCGATCTGAGACAATAAACAAAACACGATTGTTGCTAATAACGGTTTTTTCATCTTCTCTCTTGCAATGTAACTTACTATGTTGTCTTTTTATTGTTAAGAAATTGTCAAAATCCATGTCCCTAAACAACTGCAAGGCGGAAAAAATCCATATTTCCCTATAGTATAGCCATCTGCTTCGTCTATGCAGACTGAACCTCTGAATTGTCCAAATTTTCATAACTCTTTTAAGTCACGTTTTGACCAACCCATCTAACGAGGTAACTTTCCTCAGACAAAGTACAGTGCCATTGCTCACCCTCAGCCACAATGATACAAAACCACTATACTATCATCCCAATATAACACTGTCAGTTCAATCAGACAAAGAGTAAACAAAAAGGGCATGCAAAAGAATGCCAAAGCATAAGGAAACCTTGTCAGTGTTGAAAAGCAAAAACAATGCATACTATTTTCACATTTCTTCCACTTGGGCATCCCCAGACAGGCCTAAATTATGACTTATTTGTTGGTGCCGTGTGGGGGCCACCACGTTTTCTTTGCCAAACAGCTAGCAGAAAAGGTGAATTATCTGTGTTTTGTATCAAACAAACAATTCCTGAAGGAGTCTATACCAAAAAAAATCATCTATATTCTACATGGCTGAGTTCTGATACAATAACTAACAAGTTGCTGAGAGAACCCTTTTACTAGGCAACATCCTCATTAGAGTGAGCTGGCATGTCACCATGAGTACTTCCTGTATTAACAGTTACAACCACGGATGGCAATTGGCAAGGGAAATATAATATAATATAAATATATATGCTATGACAGTGTATCCTCGTGTTTCATGAGGAATGAAGCACCTTCTTGTCCTTAACAAAACCAAAATCCCCAAAAAGACCCTGCGTTGTGGAAGAAAACCAAAGCGTAAATGCTTATCCTCTATTGTCCCCCAGAGCCCATAATACAATAAGAAATGGGAGAAATGTAATAAATATACTCCCACCCATCACCATCATATTATATTTTCATCTTTGGAGTCATCTTCAGAAAAAGAATCCTATCGTCCCCGACCCCCACCCCCACCCCATCTTTTTCCAAATTAATATATCTTGTCATCACTCAACATCATAATCTAAGATTGCCAGAAATGGTGCAGTAAAAGTAATTTGGCCTCTCAATTTCAATCTTGGCAAGTTGTTATAAAGATTAAAGAGTATGCATGATCAATTTATTTGTTGATTAATTTAAATGATGAGCTATCCTATTCCCTTCCCATTCCGTAAATAAAAATACTTTTGCTAATTTGCTACATATGAAGAACAAGCATGATCAGGATCATACCATGGCATCATTGATTGCATAAGCCACACAGTAGTGCTCCTGAAAATCAATAGCAAGGAAAGGAAGTTAAGTCTGTAGTAGCGGAATAAGGAAAAGAGGAACTTCTTACTATTGATGACAAAGCACATTGCTAAAGTGGGTCATGAAGCCACCTGTTGTTTGCATTCAACTGGAGTAATGGTTAGGATAAATTTCTTATTTACTTTTCACTTCTGATCAATGAATCTTAGTAGGAAGAAATAAGGACGAGTGCAATTCTTATCCCCACTTAAAATGAGAGATGATTAACTGTGGCCCAGACCCACCATCCAAAGCCCCAGCAAAATGTGTCCAACAGAATTCAGACACTTTTTATGGCAATTAACAGAACAGGAATAAAAAATGGACTCACCTGCATCATGTACCACTCTTCAAATTCATCAAACAATTCCAGCCGTTCAATCCTAAACAGTAAAGTATCACCAATTAGTATCTTTTGACAAATTTACAAAAGAAAAGGGCCACCGACCATAAAGTAATGATGGAGAGTCAGGGAAGAAAGAACTGCCTTTCATATGAACATACAAACTTTAGTATCTAATAGAAATCCATTAGTTCCATCATATGACAATCATAAGATATTGATGGGACACAGTACCTTGTGTGTGTAAGAAGACAAATAAAATAACAGTATATTATTGTGTTATTGGATGAAAAACGACAAAAGGACAATGATGACTACAAAAGGATACCACAAATTTGTTTTATGAATTGCAACAAAGAAAATACCCCGGCTTCTGGCTTATGTTGTTTGCGTTGCAAACAACTACTTTCATCCCATTTAAATGCATTAAAGGATAAGAAAACACTCGAGAATTTGTAAATTTAACACACAAACTTTGAGATCTAATTCAGTAAAAAATAAAATAAAATACCTGCGTCTTTCTTGTGCATCAACAAAATCATTATAAACTCTCAGCATGTCCCAGGCAACAGACCTCTGATACCCACAAAAAATAAAAAGCATAAGAATATTAATATGTTGGTATAAATATTTTAGTGATAGAATAAATACACATTAACACTACATGATCGTTCATAAAATGGAGCATTGACATCAAAGGTGGGAAAACATGGAAAAAGTGAAATTTCATAAAACAATATGTCCTGAAAAACACTGTTAAATTTAATTTGTTACTGTATCATTTTATGTAATTTATCATTTGAGTATAGAAATGGAGCCCAAGAGCCTTAGCTCAAGTGGCACAAAACCCTTAGGGAACTATTTGATCCCAGGCTCAAATCTCTGCCAAGCCATTTTGCCTGCATTTCAGCCAACTATCCCCTTCCCTGCATCATGTCATAAACCTCCTTTGTAAGGAAAAATAAAATAAAATCACTATATTATAGACATTCAAAGCTTTTCTTGTTCAATACACACACCACACACTAGAAAGTGCATGGTGCAGGTATAAGTCCTCCTAGTGCCTATGGTGTCACTCATAAGAATTTTTTGCCATAAATGTGCTCAACTACAATAATGATAGTAATTATGGTATCTATAAACTAAAAACAACAAACGAGTTTTATCCCACTAAGTGAAGTCAACTATATGCATCACATGACACCACTGAACTCGGTCAAGAACCAAATTCTTAGAAATATTATTTATCAACATATGTCTTTTAATAATGGTAACCATTAGCTATAATGACAAAATTTATATTAATAATCAATAATCCCTAAGCAAGAATTTTAAAGCCTATGTTGAACAGCTATCGAAGTGTTGCAGATTCTGAACCATTCTAGTTAATCTGCTGATTCTCATATTACTCATACCTAAGTGACTCCTTTTATCATCATTTAGAAGGTTTTCTACAAATGTAAATTGAATCTTATACCAGATGCACTATAAACAATAAAAAAGGAAAAATACTCCATTTCTAGCAAAAATTACATGATATACCTGCCATCCTTGGTCCAGAAATAATTTTTCCTTCGCAAGTAAAGTTGGTGTAGCATAAATACCCAACAGAGCACAACCTCGACTCTGATACAAAACATTAAAGTCAAAATATATTATAGTTTCACACACATCAATGACTATTATTATCTATGAAAGTATCAAGTCATGAATGCATTTAGACACACCTTTTACATACATGAGAATTGAGATAGACATCTTCAATTTAAACAACACTATACAGTTCATTTTTCAACTCAAACCAGCAAGCAACTTGTTTCCACAAACAATGGATGACTGACAGTCCATTATAAGAAAGCTCAGAGCAAAAGTGATTATTGCCAAAGAACCAAACTCAAAAGCAATAAAATAAACAAAACATTGACCCAGGCACAAGTTTTTATTTTTCAGTGTGCTAATCATACAGAAAAAGAAACATTTTTATTGAAGCTATTCTCCTAGTTGTGTTGAAAAATTATGTCAGACATTAAATTTTAAAAGAAATCCACAAGGTACAAAAAGAGTTTATTGGCCAAAATAGACCTAAATGCATAAATCATGCATTATCAACCTTAAATCTCAAACTCAAGGTTGAGTGGTTGTAAACGAAAAACTAAGAAATTCTTCATTCCAAAATTTCAATCAAAGTAGAAGTCCACAAGGCTCAGTTCACATGACTCAACATAGCACAACATGCTAACAATTCCCTTGAAAATGGTCTTATCTAATTTTCTCATCAACTTTCACCTCTTGCAACATCCTTATACTCATTATATACCTATTAGAATAAAAGTTAACAAAATATAGTACATGACTCCTTGCATAAATTACTTTGTGAGCTTCCATGAATCAGCATTTACTGTACAAATTTGGATTTGCCGCTACTTTTGTGTGCTGTGCTGTTACTTTGGAGGCTAATAACTTAGATTGTTGTCGTTCACTATCACTCAGATCTCAATGGAAAATTGGAAATGGAAGTTCCAATTTAATTAAAGATCCTAGAATAGAATGAAAATGACTAATATACACATTATGCATGGTCGATTGATAAAAAATCGCAAAACTTGACATAAGTGCCACCACCCCAAATAGAAAGAAAGCTGAGTGTAAAAGAAAGAGTCCCAGGGAAGTGAAGTTCACAGGACAGGAATAATCTGAGTACAAGTGTTTGCTTGACAAATAAAAGTAAAGTTCCAATGAGCAGAGAATAAGATATTCTTCACGAAGAAACCAAAAAACTAAAATTAACAGGTAAAGAACATCCAGTAAGCACACCCTTAGGGTACAAACATAGTACAATGAACAAAATTAAGGTACAGCAATTAGAAAACAAAGTAAAATGCAAAGCACAAATAAATTTCCATTTTGAGATCAGACATTTCCAATGGTATTGGTAATCTGAAATGAACCAATTGTAATCTATAAACCACAGTAAACACTTTTTTTTTACAGCCATACCTCCAAATTCCGTATCATTTGTTGTCCAAAAGCATCATCTGGGTGGATCTGTTCACAAAGTACAATATAATGCAAAGAATATTCTAATTTATCAAAAAAAGTAGAATTAGAGACTATGAAGGGTCTAACCTGCTCATAAAGAAAAAATATTGCTGTTGAAAATGTTTGGGAAGCCCAACCAACAATTGAACGAGTTGAATCAGGATCCAAGTAGATCAGAACACATTCTGCAATTATAAAAGTTGGCAGACTGATAACAGTATCAGAATGAATCAATCTATCCTACCTCGATCATGAAAGACACGGAGTTTAATTTAAATTAAAACAAAATACACACACATTTATACATATATCAACATGCAAAAAATATAAAATAGATCAATATTAACCAACAAAAGAAATTAGAATTAGATCCTCCAGCATATGAATCTCCAGCAGATATAAAGTCATAGAAGTCAATAACTACATAAAACAAGTGCACACATAAAACCATAAAAAGAAAATCGAAATAAAGAATTCTTATGCTCAAACTTGGTTTCTTCAAGTCATTTTCCAATTTGTTAAATATATAATTGTAAGTAGTGAAAAGGAACGCGGCAATGCTTTCCAATTATAAAATTCAGTAGTATTGTCTTTAAAGTCATTTTCAATTTTTAAACTTCCAGTTCCATTTCCATATTCAATGAGCTTTTTAATTTTATATATTTATCACTTTTCCCAGGAGAGTCTGACAACCTCTAACATATCATCAATTATAGCCAACAGTTAAGGCATTTCAAATTGTTCCAAAGTTGTTTAATTGTTAGCTATGTAAAGAAACAAAATATTGCTGTCCGATTATTAAAAATTCAGAATCATTGTCTTTTATTGAAAATTATAAGACATAAAATTCATTAGAGAAGAGAAAAAAGAACCAAAGAAGCAGCAGATAAGTTATCTTGTCTTTAAAACCCCTTTCAATTTAGAACTTTTTGGTTTCATATATTTTCCTAGATGAGCTGATGACTTCAAATTATCAATTATATCTGAATGGTAACAGAATCTCACAATTGTACACAACAGAACAAGAGATAGAGAGCTGATTCCCGATATATACCTTGGATCCATTTCAGCAAGAGTTAAAATATCACTTAATTGTTTCACATCACGCAAATCTGCTGGGACTAGTTTATAGTGAGCACTAAGCACTTCTCCTTTTTCTGAAAAACAGTGAGACAATCACGCATGCTAATTTTCAGAATTGATGTCCAACAATGAACAATCACAGTGAAATGATCACAGGTTAATAGTTTTACTCTTAATTAAAAACATGGAAGAATCTCTCAACCGTTTAAAGCATCACATTCAGCATTGCTTACCTTGCGATATGACCACTGTTTCACCAACTTTATTCCTCAATGGAATGCAAGTCTCAATAAGTGCTGCCTTTTTACTGGTTACCTATATTTCAAATACAACAGTAGTTTAACCTTCTTTACCAATAATGGCAATTAAAAAACAACAAAATTCAAAAACTATAAACAGCTTTTTTCTTCTTCATCCGCAAATATATATATTTAGAAATATCTATATGATCAATCCAACTCAGAAGCCATAAGTAGGTATTCGAATTTCTACCTCCTTAAAATCCACTTCCACATATAAATGTGGTGCTTTCCCCTCATCCTGCGAAGAAAAGAATTTAAACATTGAAGTTACAACTTACAACTGTAAATTGGCACACATCATAGATGAGTGAAGCTAAGCAAAAAGGTTACAAGGAAATCTTGAACTGATGGCAACAAAGTACAGAGTTTCACACTTTCTGTCCACATTCATGATCCCATTTCAACAAGAGGATAGATGCCAACAAAAAAGGGCCTAAGGGTCCAATCAAACTGCATTCTGCATATTAAATATATGTTTGCATCTTTGAAGTGCAGGGTTAAAAGAGGGAAACATTTTTTGTTGCCAAAAATCCTATATATAACAACAACGTGGTAACAAATAATAGGAAAAATTCTGCACAAAAGCTTTATGCTAGTTGCACAAATGATTCAGTTTAGATGAAGTATGAATTCATTCTATAATATGTGCAGCATTTACAATTGACTCCATAGTCAATTGACTCCATTTCTTTTCTAAGAAAACTTATATAACTAACTCAATTTAGTGAGGGAGTTGCATTCCACTCAGACATTTGTCGCCTGAGAAGTTAAGTTTCAAAATAATTCAATGTCCTAACATCTTTGTCTTGTGCAGAACAGAGTATAATATTTTATCTCTTAAAGATTAAGATTGTAAAAGCAGCAGGCAGTTAGCACAGGAGAACCAACAAGAACAAAATCAAAATTGTCCTCATGGTCTGTTAAGACACAATAGTAAAATTTCACCAAGATTTAAATGCAAAACCTCTTGATCAATATTAATTCAATCCAAACCTTCACTTAACCCCCATGGCTCCAAATCAATAACAAATCTATAGTTTTAAAGGCAAAACAAGATTTAACAAAAGAAGATTAACTCCAAAGTAGACTAACTTCAAAGTACAACTTGTACAGTGTCAGTACTTATGACAACTCACAAGGAAATCCAGGCACCTGCAACTGAAAATATGTTGTGTCAAATCCTGCTCCAAGTGATAATATCTGTTTCTTCATTGGGGCATCTTCATCTGTCTTCTCAGCATCAAGAAACTGGTAGAGAAGTTTTCGAATAGCAGCCCAACGAGCAAAGTAACCTTCATACCCACAAAAAAAATAAAAAAGCATCAACAAACTACAAAGTGAAGGGTAGGTACTTAAACAAGTCAATTCCTTGAAGAAGTCAACTCCTACCTCGATTAATAATAGGAGATCTCCTCACAGGCCTTCTCACAAATAAATGAATGTAATCATCTTTCATGTATCCCTTTTTTACACATGACCTACAACCAGTTATGAAGAGAAAATATTCATCATATAATATCACCTAAAAATAGTTCATAAAATAACATTAATAATTCATTTAAACTCTGACAAGGTTTAATACAAAATGAAAAATTATAACAAAAAATGAGTAAAAATAATATCAACATTATCAGAACCAATGTTACATGGATTGTGATATGGTTTGGTACATGGTACAAGACTTTTCCTGGTACACAAAACAGAGGTAGACTTTATTGGATCCCTATTTGGGATCAATATTCATTTAGAATTAGATCAATATGCATGAACTTCAGCCTACAGTATTAAGAGGTAAAAAAATTGGGTAGGCCCATTTTTCCAATTTAGAAAACTAAACAAGGCCCATAAAATCATTTTCACTATTTTTCTATCATAATTCTAATTCACTAACTTTTATATGAAAGTTTCAAGCTCTAAGCTGCTTTTTCTCCAGTGTAAAAAGGTTTAAACCCCGGAGCCTACTAATTTATCTTTAGAAAACTACCCCATTAGGCTATCTTAAAAAAAGCTTTCAACCAACAACTCTGTCACCTTTGCAACCAAGTGCACATAGTCTCTTCTTTCAATTAATTTTGCAACCAAGTGCACATTGTTTCTTCTTACTGCCAACTTTCCAATCTGGCAGCCATGGGAGATTTTTCCATTCATTGAGACCTCAACACATGCTATTCTGCTTGTTTCTTTACTATTATGTTAATGTTTGGAACACCTACCCACAGCAATGTTTTGGGTCACAAACGATCCATGTTTGGGGATTTGACCAATACATGTAACAATGACCTGAAGTCTGAAGCCATATACAAATGGAAACACAATGTCAATTTTCCAATCACAAGCGTGTGGCTTTGCAACACACACAATGCATGTTTTACAAGTAACTGTATTATTTATCTGAACATTTAAATTTATCCAGATAACGTTTTCTCAAAAGAATATTTTAAATATGGCATGCCAAGAATAAATAAAAATCTCTTTACTATTTTACATGTAATACTTGACCATATTTCATCAGAAACCAAAAGCATTTTATATCCCTGAAGTGTATCACACTATAAAGACCAGACTCAGGTAGTACTTATGCTTATCCATAATGACATCCTTGAAAGGAACCGCCTTAGTAACCTTCTACAGTGTCATGTATTTATGCTTATCCATATTTGCATCCTTGAAAGGAACCATCTAAGTTAATCTTCTATATTCTACAATGGCATGTGCTTATGCTTATCCATATTGCCATCCTTGGGATTCAAACTCAGGACCATCTCTTACGAAAAAAAGGCATAACCACTATCTAGATGTTGCCTCTGTCACGTGCAAACAATATGTTTAAACAACAGCAGCTTCTAGAACGCCCCGTTCCTAATCTACCAAAAGGGGAAGGGATTGAACATAACAATAACAACCCAAGAATGTTACTATCTACAACGATACAAAATGAGCACAATCCTAAAGAATAAATTAAAACAAATTCGGGGAAAGTAACAGATAATTTTTACACTAAATTGAAAGACCAAAACACAATGTAAGTTTCATAACAGTTCATGCTAAGAACAACCCAATTGGGCAATCATGTTCACAACCCATTATACAAAGAAACAAGCTTCATATCGAACAAATCGTATGACTCCAAATAGACCAATAAATAATAAAAGCAATTTTAGCATTGTTCTAAGGCAAAAAAAGAACAGAAAGGGAAGCGCGTGCGCACAATTTGCTAGCGGAGGCATCATCGTTGGTGGCTTGCACCGCAACAGTGTTGCTGTGTGAATCGGCCATTCTTCTCCAACAAAGGTGATCCCTCTCTTGTTAGGTTTTGGAATGAAGAATCACAGAAGAACAAGATGCTGCAACCTAGATAGAAAATCCGCGCAAGTCCCGCAATTAAAAAGTAATATTATTAATTAATAATAAAAATATAACTTTTATTATTGAATAGAAAATTAAAAGTAAGAAAATATTAAAAAAAGAAAAGCTTTTTTTTTTTCAAAATTTCTTTTATGAAATTGACGAAATTATCGTGAATAAATTATCGTGAATTATAATAAAAATATTTATTAATTCACTAATTTTTCCCTTAAAATATTAATTTAAAAATAGTAAATAAAATATAAATTAACTTATGCTTTTACATTTCCATGAGCTATTAAGAAAAGAATATTCAGACGGCAAAGCAAAACTCTATCTAAAGATATCTTTGAGCATTCACTGCATTATAAAAATAAACAGTATATGTAAATTTTAATATTTAGTATATGTAACATTTTTTCCTTATAGGATAGTCATTTTTAAAAAATATATATACACTTGATTTGTTTTTAAGTTTGTAAATGTAATGTGTTAAAAGTTGATACAACACTTTGCTTGACTCTAATTAGTAATCATCCTTTATTTGTTTATAATTATAAATTTTATCATAAAATTATTGGTTATAATAAGTAATAATAATTTGAATTTAATTGAAATGTATGAATAATGTAACAATTTTTACACTGTTATTTAAATATATAAGAAAAAATTAACTCTTGTGATAGTTAATATAAAAATCATACATATTTTAAAAAATGTTTCATAGTTGACAATTATTTTTATAAATTAATTTATATAATTTAAAAAGTGATATTTTAGTTATTATAAAAATATTTTGTTACATTTTAGTTTAAGTATTATATTATTAATTTTTTTGTGCTATTTTTTATGATTTTATATATATATATATATATATGTGTGTGTGTTTTATTTTTTATATGATTTTTTTATTTAGAAATACAAGAAATATAGAATTTTTTGAATATTATATGAATATGTTTTTTTTTTGTAAAAGTCAACAACGACATTTTTATGTGTCAGAATTGTCAATCAAAAGAAAAATTTATTAATAACAAAATTTAAAAATATAAATAAATTTAAGCTATGAAAAATTATTATTGATAAGTTTATTATAAAAAAAAAAATTTGCTAACTAAAATTGTTATTGGCAACTTTTAATGCTTTAAACATAATAAAAAAGTTTAAAAATTCGTCATTGACAACTTTTGAATGATATAAAATAATCAAAAACTCTTATAAGTCATTATTAGTAATTTTTTATGTGTTTATAAATATTGAATTCTTTATTCTTTGTAAATTGCAAGATTATTCTTTTGAAGAACTTCTGCTTCAGCCTACGTCGTGGGATTATCGTGGATCTCAATTTCCTCTTCTTTCTCTTTCTCCTCCTCCCGTTGCTCCTCCGCTTGCTTTCGGTGCAAGTCCTTTGTTGTTGGCATTGCTTCATATTCTCCACCTCAATCTGCCGCATCTCCCCATTCACATTGCCCACAAAGAAATGGGCAATCAAAATGGGTAATGAGAAAGGGCAATATAAATGGGTAATAAAAATGGGCAACCAAAATGGGTAACATAAAGAGAATAGGCCTGCCCGGTCTCATTAATAAACAAAAAAAAAAGTTCAAGCTTTTTTTAAGTCTATTATATATAATATTATTATTCAAAAATATTAAATATAAATATATTAAATTATTATAAAATTAAAGGGGAAAGATTTCTCAAAATTATAAGAAATTGGATTCTAACATAATTGTAAAATATATAAAGCAAATGGTTGAGCCTAACTTTTCCTTTAAGATAAAACTTGTAATTGGTGATATTTAGTATCAGTATGACTACACAATAACATATCAGAAAATAAAAGGCAATTGAAAAAGTTAGTTTATAGTCAATAGGAAGCCTTATTTAAAACTTTGCCACGATGGTATATAGCAATGTGTGATTGTTCAAGGTTCCGTTGTTCTGTTGGATGTTGTAGAGGCCTAATGTGATGATAAGTTAGCTCTTTATGTTAAAATATTTTGTCGCGTGTTTTGGACTTTTAGTTCTTGTATAAGAGCATTTAGACAGTGCAAACCCCTTATGCAAATTGATAGAACACATTTATATGATAAATACAAGAGAGTTCTATTGGTGGTCATTGCACAAGATGGTAATAAAAATATATTGTCATTGTTTCTATTATTGTTGAGGGTAAGACTGTAGATGCATAGTTTTTTTTTTTTGATAATTTCTTATCTGCACGAGTCAATTAATGCACCAATAAGAAGAAGCAATGGACAATGGAAACCTTTCACATATATTGTATTAGACATATTGCAACCAGTATTTTAAGAAGATTTAAGGTTCCTTACATAAATTTGTCATCTGCATGGGTATGCTTCACGACCTTTATTTTAAAAATAATGATTAAAATAATATGCATATGCTTTTAAAAGTACTAATATAAATTGGTATGAATTTTGCAGGTTATTCATGAACCAAATATGAATTTAATATTTATTATAAGTTATTACGGGAACACATGGAGAGGTTTATTCAAACTGACTTAATGAAATTTCAAGAGGAAATGAGTTATAGTATTTGACGAAGGCCATAGGTGGGGTCACATGACCACAAATCCTGTTGAGAGTATTAATTCAATGTTACAAAGTGCTTGAAATCTTTTAATCACCCACTGTTAAAAGCAACTTACTTTTGATTGATTTAGTTGTTTGTTCAAAAAAGGAGTGAGACATAAGCACAAAAAAGGTTCAACATATTTTCTCTAAATCAATGACAACCCGACTTCAATCAAACGAGGCCAGGGCAAAAAACTTGCATGTTACTCAATTTAACAAACAAAGTGAAACTTTTAATGTTCAGGATTTATATAGCAAAAATATATAGTTGATCTGAAACAAAGGTAACATATGTGAAAAAAAATTCCCTACGTCTTCCTCCTCTATCTACATCATCAACAACACCCTCATGTTGTATGGCTCCATCAATACCCTGCTCCACCATATGACCAGATGTTTGGACAAATGTGTTATCCTGTTGCATTAGATCTCACGACATCATTGGCATAGACCATTGATCAAGAGAATATTCCTCAAGATATAGCCTCATACTTTGGTGTTACAGGTTATGGTCGATACCCATCATCCTCATGTATTAGTGTTTTTTCTATAGTTGCGTCCTCATTTAAGTCAAAGTTACATTGACGATTGAGTTAAGAAGTTTAATCTTCATTAAGCAAAAAGTCACATGTGCATAGAAATTGACTAGATATCCCACTAGCACCATTACAATCAACATACCTCCTACCTCGTGATTTCTTACTTCTTGATCCATGACGAATATTCCTTCTATCTACAGACATTAGTCCTTGTTCTTGAGGTAAGAGTTCTTCATCCCATTGAAATGCATGTCGTTAGTTCATTTGTGGTGACCAATAATATTCCTAATTTGGTTGAACTGAATATAGTGGCATACTTTGTTATTGCATGGGTGATGTATCAATGAGAAAGTCGTGGCTTCTCATGGAACTGTTATTGTTGGGGTGATGGTTGCTCTATTAGTGGGGATAACCATAGCTAATTTGCTACATATAATGTGTATCATGTCTAATATTCATTCAAAGGATAATAATTGTCAACTGACAATTCTTCTAAGATAAGTTGATACTGATGCTTTCATATTATCACCCAATCATCATAAATGAGCCTACAGTTCTTTGGTTCTCTTAATCCAAATTGTTGCATGACACAAATCAACTGCATGCCATTATATAACTTTAAAACAAATCAAAGGACTTAGAGTTGACCACACAAAATATTTTCTTCTTACATCATCTGGAATTAAAGCCTCAATATCATTATCCTTATATGGTCACCATAGATATTGCATGAAATAACCAAATATTTATGTTATAAAAAGAAATAAAATACTACTAATACATAATTATAATATATTAATAATTTTCCTTGTGAACACCTATTTGATTGAGAGCCAATCTAATACTTCAAACATTTTTAAATAGAGTGTTCACTAGATATCACATTTGTTTCTATCTTAGAATAAGTGGAAAAATAATTAGTTCATTAGGGATTGAAGTCAACCACGATAGTTGGTGTCATACTTATACTTACAATAATATTATGCATCCATAAATTTCTTTAGCATTATGTTGTGAGCCATAATCTAAGCCTTTATAAAGAAACAAAAGAAACGTTGAATCCTAACTATAATTTTCAATTTCATTCACATATACAAGTAACTACAAGAATTTTGTATGCACTAATCCTTTAATATCATTTAGTATCAGTCGAACGCCTAATAACTCATCACATGTATTTTGAATCATTGCAAAATAGGGATTACTAAAGTCAATCACTGGTAAACCATCGATCCAAAATCCAAACAACATACAAACATTTCTAATATACTTGTGCATTATCCATAACGTAAATGAAATGTATGTGTTATTTACATTTGACAAAATTTAGAAACACGTTTAAACCCAACATTGCGTAATATGTTATTTATTTATTTTTGAAGTGACTTCATGAATAAGTAACACAAGAACATAATTGTCTCATTTCTTGTTATAAAAAAGAGATTAATCATGACTTCATGTTGTATTTGAAGTTCATTTTATAGAATAAAAAGGTTCCTAATGATGACTTTTTTCATGAAGAGAGCCTCTTCTAGCTTTAACAGTAATGCTAGAGATTTTTCACCCAAAAATTATTAATTATATTTTTTTTTCCAAAAAATCAAATATTCTTAAAGAATGTGCCATGATATAGTGAAGATTCAAAGCCCTCTACTTGCTCAAGAATAGAGTCTAACTTATTGCATAAATTATACATAGTCAAAGGTCATTGGTAGCAAGTTTTCAGGTGTCAATTAATCTATATTTACATCAATATAAGAATTGAAATTGCAACTTTTCTTCATTTTTAATAAAAAATTACTAACAATGAGTCCATATTCACATAAATTTATTAAAAATTAGTAATTTTTGAATTTATTTTTTATTTATCATATTTAAAATTTTAATCATGTATATATATATATATGTTCATTCTTTTAAGTAAGTAGGATACCAATGATTATGCAACACGTAACTTGATGTTATGTTAGCAAAAAACGGAACTTTTTTTTTTTTTAGCATTTGAATGGTAGCAATTGGTTTTTAAATATAATAATATAATATATAGTGTTTTTTTTTATATGCATCCTATATTAACTTACATGGCAGAATATTATTTGGTATTCCCAGATCCAATGCTTTTAATACTAAATTAGTCATTAATCTAAAAAAATGTTGATTTATAATTGATCAATTTAACTGAACTTAAATTGGTGATAACAAAAAATATAATTTTAATTTATATGTAATACTTAATAATATAAAATCAATATTTGTAATTAAATAATGTAACTTGAATGATATCACAAAAAAGAAAAGGTGCATTATCCAACTATAAAAATAAAAAATGTGGTGATAGGTAACTAAAGATGAGGGCTTTGGGAAGTAGTGGTTTGTGCATAATTGGCAAGTGGCAACCAGTGCTCATGTAAAAAATAAAATAAAACTAATGAACTATCAACTTGCATTATTTTTATTGATAATTTTGAATTTTTTCTTTTATACAAACAATATTAAGCGTAATATTAGGTATATTTTTAGTCTTAATTTTAATCAAGACTTTACTTTAATAATTTACATGATAAAAAATAGTATTAAAAGTCAGTGTAAATTTTTATTGATGCAATAAAGATTAAAAATAGTATTATTTCTTATAAACATAATAATAATATAAAAATATTTTGTAAACTTAACATAATGAAAGGTGAGAGGAGCAAAATATTAATTTTGGCATATTAAATAATTTATATTTTTAAATAATACAAAGTAAAGTTTTATGTTTATTTTAATTATAATATTAAATAAATTAGCGCGATTGTATAACTAAAAGCACTTGTAGAGGCAGATGGAGCACTCTCGTGAAAGCCTTCTTCAGTTCGCTCTCACTGCCCAACATCCACACGATAACATAACTCTCCAAATTCCTGAAATTCAAATCTGAAAAAAAAAACCCTAAACCTAAAACCTTTTGATTTTTCTTGGAATCAAATCGATTTCCTCATTCCCAAAGAAACCCTAGTTGTTTGCGAAGATGGATATCGAACAGAAACAATCCGAGTTGATCGAGCACTTCGTGAAGCAGGCCTCTTCTGCCCCCAACGCCTCTGCACTCGCTTCCGTCCTTGTTGAAGCCACTTCTCATCCTTCCCTCTTTGCTTTCTCTGAGATTCTCGCCCTCCCCAATCTTCATCAGGTTCCTCTCTCCTCTCTCACTCTCTCTTTGCACTTTTTTGTTTTTACTTTTTGCCTTTTTCCGATTTGTTGTTGTTATTATTATTGTGTAGGTTTTTTTTTTGTTTTCATCTAAGAATGGTTGTTGATTTGCTAAGGGAAACGGAAAAGCAAAGTTGTTTTACGGTGTTTGTGTTCGCCGTGCTTATGAACGAGTCTATTGAATAGAGTGCTGTAAAATTATCATGTTTTGTGTGGCCATTTTAATTCATTTTTAATTGTTATTGTTATTATTATTGTAAATGCAGTATTTGTTTAGGCGATTCTGTTGTCAATTTTTGTTTTTGAGGTAATGTGAAAACTTGTAAGTGACTTGAGAGCTCTGTTTTTGCCTATTCATATTGTGAACTAGTTCCGGCATGTCTGCTTTAATTTTTTGACTTGTGATTTCTTGCAGCTTGAAGCGACTGAGAATTCCGTATACCTTGATATGCTTCGGTTGTTTGCACATGGAACATGGAGCGATTACAAGAGTAAGCCTGTGGATTTACCCTTTTTTTTGTGTGCATTTATGTCAGGTCTGTGTTTTCCTGCCTTCATTGATTGTTTTTCCACTCCAATATTGTGTTGTTGACATATTTGGATCAATGTTGTAACAACCATCCGTTACTGCACAATGACATGTGCATGGTGGATTTAATTTATTCTTAATGAAATCACTGAATGTTAGCGTTATGCGATGGAAGGTTGTTGGTTGTAACTTCTGTAAGGATGGTTATATGAAGGAGGATGGTTGAAAAGTTCGGGGAAACAGTAGGCTAGCCTTTTCTTTTCATTTTTTTTATTGTTTTGGCAATTTAGTTGTTTTTATTTGTCAGTCTATAGTGGCATTAGCATTTTTAGTTTTTTATTTGATGGTTTTATAATTTCTGTCTTTTTCCCTTTATAATGTATAATGTTTGTGTTATTTTTGGTGAATTTTATTTGCTGGAAAATATTAATATTATTAAACCAACACAATAGTGCATATTAAAAAGTTTAAGTTGCTTACAGGTAATGCTGGTCGTCTTCCACAATTGATTCCTGATCAAATCCTCAAGCTTAAGCAACTTACAGTTCTTACGCTGGCTGAGACATACAAGGTATTACCTATTAAAATAATCTATTATTGGCTATGTTGTGTTTGTTTTGCTTGACTTAGTTATGGGGGTGATTACTGAACTATTAATTAAAACTGAGATTCACGAGCATGTCACCTACTCCAGCCCAGATGATGTGCTTGTCTATTGTTGCTATAAGTTTTGTTACCAATGGTAGATATATATATCATAGTTATGTAATGATTTTAGTTTTAGTTTGGCTGAAAAACGAATTCTTTCTGTGGGTCTGTCTAGTGATCCTCCACCCCGACCCCAAAATGTAGCGCCAGGTTTTGAGTTGAGATGGTTATGCCCTGATGCTAATTGCTGTTTTGATTACGCTTTCATGTTAAATATTAATAACTTGTTTTAAAAAGGGATTATCCATGCTGTTTGGGATGGGGTTATGATTTTGGCTTTGCTATTTTGTTTGAGCTCTTGTTTGTCTCAAAAGGTCTTCTCTAATATGTGGAGAGAGTAGGTAGCATTGCAGTATCTTTATTTTCTTTACTTTTGAGTTTCAGAGATTGTCTTGTTATCTCATTTTGTGTACATTTCATTGTTTCTCTTCAATAATTTTTCTGTTTTGAATAAGGGGGACTATTTCCCGTGAGAGTTGCTCATCTAGGTAAAGTCTCCTTATTTGGGGTAGATTTGCTTGTGGTGCCATCATAGTTAAAGCATTCCCAATTTTTTGGTGATCATTGTGGGCTCGATTGGTTTACATCAAGGCTTCGTTTTGAGCCCTTAATTGTGTAATCTTGTTTTAGATGTGCTTACAAGTGACATACAAAAAATTATTCCTTAATGCATGTTATTTGCAGAGTACATGCATTGTTAGAAGAGGATAATATTAAACATGAGTTATGAAATGAGACTTTAGAATTTAAGGGTTTTTGCTTGAGTTGGAGTAAGACAGAGTACATGCATTGTAAGTTTAGCAAAAAAACATGGTGAGGTTCATGCATTGGAAGTTAAACTTGGTGATGATATTTTACCACAAGTTCCTAGTTTGAGGTACTTGAGATCGATTATACAAAATGATGGAGAAATTAAAGAAGATATTAGTCACAAAATACAAGTTGGATGGTTAAAATGAAGAACAACATCATGAATTATTTGTGAATGTAAAGTATTTATTAAGCTGAAAAGAAAGTTTTACTGCACTACAATACAACTATCTATCTTATATGGTAGTTAATACTAAAGGAGCAACATGAAAAAAAATGAGTGATAAAAATATAAGTGTTAAGGTGGATGAGTGGATACACAAGGAAGGACATAATACAAAATGATAGTATACGAGAGATTATTGAAGTAATACCTATAGTGAAAATATGATTGAAAATTGTCTAAAGGTATTTTGGCCATGTGCAAAGAAGAGTAAATTGTATGACTTTTATTCAGGTAAAGAAGGGTCGACAGAGACTCAAAAGAACATTAGACGAAATTATTAAAAGAGACCTTATGATTAACTATATTTTTGAAAATTTGGTTTTTGACCGAGCTTAATAGTGTCATTTGATTCATGTAGCTAACTTCACATATTTAAAAAAGTATTGGTGGTTGTTGTATTGTGGGACTTGATAACATTTTCTTTTGGTTCTATCACACATAATTTAAGTATTTCTATTTGTTAACTATTGCATACTTTTTTTTGTCTTTGTTATTCATTTTTTCATATTGCATTTGCTAGATTGTTAATTGGTAAAATCTACTCTATCCCTTCTAATTGAGAAGGTTTGATACCCTCTCTTACACGTGGAACAATTGTCATTCTTAATTTTATGTTAATAAATAGTAGAGTTAGTAGTTTAGTTTAAAAAGACGCTAATACCATTTAATTTTTAAGATTTTAGAAAAATCATAACCGTTAATTTAAAAAGGGTATAAAATACTTTTTCAAGCTTACAGGTACCATAGCAAGCACCTTATTGATTATATCCATACAGTTGCTTGTAGTTCTTGTATAGATATAAAGTCAAAATTTCAAAATTACCTCTTATAAGGAGGGTAAAATTCAGTGGCAGTCTGCTGTTTCTTAATCTGATGCATTTTGGTATACTTGCATCTTTAATGGTGCTTCTTTGACCTAGACCTATTATGAGATAAAGTTGTGTTTATGGTTTTTCTATAGTGTTTTGCTCTGGGTTGTTTGAGGGTTTAGTTTTCTCTTCTTTGCAGGATATTCTATCCTTCCTTTAGTCTTCTAATAATTTTTTATCAAAATGAAACCAACTCTTGCCAAGATCTATTTCCTTTGTATACGATTGTTTCACCCAACTCTTCACTTTAAATTGTGTTTTCTTTATCTATGTACATTAGGAACGCATGATAAATACTCAAGTTTCTGTCTTGTTTTGCTGTTTGAGTTTTGTCTTTATCTTTTGATATTTGCAATCAATTTAACAAAATTTTGTTTATTATGTTTTTAGGTACTACCCTATGACCAACTGATGCAGGAGTTGGATGTGACAAATGTCCGGGAACTTGAAGATTTTCTAATTAATGAATGCATGTATGCGGTAGGCATCATTCCCTTCCATTGAATATATTTCTTCTCAAATGTGACAAAATTAGTGCAAGGCACAGTTGTGCAACCATTATTATGACTTTTTTTTATTGTTATTGCAATAAAAGAATTCATTAAGAGAGAAAGATAGATAGAGAAAGAGAGGAGTGTGGGTATATTTACATCAAATCTTTCTGATGGAAACATGAGAGGAAATATTATCCATCAGTTCTGGTGCTCTTCAATTCTTATACAACAAAACATCTGTAAAAATCACTGGGGATATAAATCACACTTAATCTGCTAAAGGAAATGTTCACAATGGAAATGTTTGGGGATTATGCGTTATAAGATTTTTGCATATAAAGCAAATAATTTGTGCTAATCCCAATTGGTGTCATGTTACAATCTATACAATAGAAGCTCTGAAAGGGATATGAGAAAAGTTCTATAATTGATATGTGATTGATCTCTGTTTAATACTCTCAGTGCCCTCTGTTTAATACCCTCAGTGCCTTTAGTTGTTGCGTGAATTTTTTTTTTCTTTCAAATTTGCATTTAGTTCTCTGATTCACTAATTTTCAGTTGTTATAATGATAAATTGCACTATAAATAAAAAAATTACAATAAGTACCTTTATCATTATTCATTACTTCTTGGCACATTCTTTATTTTTAACCTGCTTACTTTATGCTATTTTCCATGTTAGATAGTTCAATTAATAAAATTGGTTTTCAATTTCTTCTTGCTTTCATCAGGGGATAGTCAGAGGAAAGCTGGATCAGCTGCGACGATGCTTTGAGGTTGTAGCTAATCATCTATCATTTTTTTAAGAATTGCACTTTGCTCCTTCTCTGCTTTTGTAATTAATGCGACATCTATTTGGAATTTAGTTAATCTTTGATGGCCATTTCAGGTCCAGTTTGCAGCGGGTAGGGACTTGAGGCCTGGTCAACTGGGGGGTATGATACAGACACTTTCTAACTGGTAATGTTTCTTCTTTCGCAGGGCTTGAAAACATATGAAATGTCTGATTATTAGTAAATCAATTACCTGTATCTGGAAAAAAAATGTATTTAAATTTCATTGTCTGATGATAAACAAGGCTAGTGATACTGCATGGCTGTAATTAATAGCAGTGTAGCCTTGTAATTTCTTTGCCTCATTATTTTAAGATCTTTGAATTTTTGTACTATCTGAAAATAGCTTGTTTTTTGGTCTGTTTAGGATTCAAGCTTGATTGAAGTTGGTTTGAGCTTCCAATTATCAACTTATCTCAAAATTTTTACTTTGTAGGAAGAATTGATTTTTAGGTTTTGTATTCCAATTTTGTTTCCTTCTTTGTAGCTCAGAACTTCTTGAAATGATGTTTGTCTATGTTCTGGTAATTTTTGAGATGTTATGTACGGAATTTCTCTTCAAGACACTGTTAACATTTTTATTCATTGCTGGGAAACATAGGTTGTCTACATCAGAAAATCTGCTTGTTTCAATTCAAGAGAAGATAAAATGGGCTGATGCTATGAGTGAAATTGACAAGAAGCACAGGAAGGATGTGGAAGACAAGGTAGAAGAAGTAAAGAAGTCTCTTTTCAAGGTCGGTTGAATTTATTTTTTACCTTTTCACATTTTTTCCCTTCAATACAGATGAGGAAATGTCCAATAAAAAATAGCTTGCATGTAATTTTGATTTTTTATACAACTTTGGCTCTCTGCCTGAATTGATGTATCTATCCTTTGCTTCTGTGCTGCCTTGCCTGAAGCAGGATGGTTTTGTGTAAATGGTTTGTACTGAGTCTGTTGGAGTTTTCATTTTCCTGTTTTGTATTTGTGTGTTCTGGGATTGATGTTCAATTGTCTGGTGGATGTATAGGGTAAGCTGGAATTCTCATCCCAGCACTATTTATCAACTTCAATATTATGGAAATGATAACTTAAAATGAATGAAGTATGAGGACTTTGAATATCTTAACTTACAAATCCTGTTCTTTTTAAGAGTGGAAGCCAATTCCATATTTATCATTCCTTATAGCTCTTAGAAAGTGATGCCTAGCAATATTTTTAATCTCTATTGTGGCAATAACAGAAGGGCCCAAATATATCATAATTACTATTTAGGGAAACTGTCTTCAATCCAACTCAAATATCAAACAGATTATCAAGCCATTGAAAGTGTTACACTCATCCTTTTATCATTATCATTTTGTGTCTTATTTTTAGTCTGGTGATGGCCTAAAAGCTACTTATGTGCAATCATGCTGCTTTTTCATTGATGATGATTTTCACTACATATTTGGTCATCCGTGGGTGCGATTGGTTTCTCTCGTCTTTGAGTGGAACCAATTGTTCTCTCTTAAATTTTGCAAAATAAATTTACAGGATTTTGTTCATCTAAGGAGGGAAAAGCTGAAGCAAGTAAAACATTTTGTATATTGGATTGAATAAATCAATTTGAAAATTTCACTTTGGACAGGACTCTATAAATAGTATATTTGGAACCAGAATTGAAGATCCCAAGTTTTCAGAAAAACTATACAAATCTGCTGATTTTAGTTTGATTGGGTTGGTCAATTGCTTGAGCTTCTCTAACCACTATATGCAGTTGCCAGTTAGTTATATGGGATGGAGAGAGAAACTTGGCTACTGGAAGACATTTATGAGGAAAAAAACTTGTACTATTATGGAGGGAAAAAGGTTATAGTAGAAAAATTTGTACTTAAGATGATAAATGTTTGCATAAAAGCCATATCCAAATGAAATAGCTCTCTTATCTCTCTAAATTAACGAATTTAAATTTTGAGGTTCGTGTTGGAAAAGTAGGTCGGCTTGGTTTTTAGTAATCATAAAAACGTTTTCAGTTTACTTCTTAGCCATATTCACATATATAGCTGCTGCATGCAGCCTTAAACACCAAATCCTATGTAAGGATTTGGAGTTTTATCAGATGATATAAGCCTTATTTATACACAGATAATTGGCCGTGTTATTCTTTATTGTTGGGATATATTGGTCGACGTGTCTTACTTACTTCGTGGCAGAAGTTACACACTGTAAGCAGGCCGACATCGACTTCAGAGGCCATGAGGAGATCTGCTCTGAATCTGGTGGAGTGATGGATTATGAAGAAGATCGAAGCCGACCAAAGAGGTAAAGACAGCTTTGAATATAAATATTTTCTATGATCAAACTGCTCATGAAATCACCAGAATGCAATACCAAAATTATTTTTGGTTCATGACTGCTCTATCATTTCTATGTATGAATGAGACTGGTGCTACTTGAATATTGCTCATTTTTGTATAAATATTTAGCGATTGAATTCTACATATTAGACTTCCTTTTCTCCCCAGCTCTTTTGGCCTGCATGTCTCTGTTAAGGAAGCTAGATATGAATTTGTTCTATAATATTTCAAGGTAGAATATGATTGAGCTGTTTATTTTACTCAGATAATAAATTTTTTCTCGTACTCTATTATAAGACTTGTGGCTTGGAAAATGTGCAGGAGGCGGCATCCAATATCTTGAAGATTGTAGTAGATAAAAGCGCTCATTTGATGGGTGTTTAGTAGCTTGCCTGACTTTTATTCTTGGCATGCGTCAGCTGAGAATATCAGCTTTTGGAGACAAGTATATCTCATCGATATTGAACTTGTCTGTCACACCACAAATCGAGATAAGAAAAAGGAAAAGGGGGGAAAAACTTGTTATTTCTTCAGAGTTGTATTTTGGAAACTGATGGTAATTATTGAACCATTGTTAGTTCCATATTGAGTTGGCAAGAACAGGAGATGGTGGTGCGGCTTTTTGTTTTTTCGTTGCTAAATGCTATACTGTTTTTCTATGTATTATGTCTCACATATGCTGCCCCAATTGCATTGCTATACTTTATGGTGAATATATATACCACAAATTAAGATTATATTATAGCATAAAAAACTGATGGTTCCGTAATAAACCGTTCGCTGGTCTGATTATACTAGCATTGTCATTTGGTTTTTCAAAAGTGCGACATTTGCTGACAATCTTCAATTTTGTGGATCAGTCGCTTCTAATTTGAGACTATCTCAAATAGTTTATCTACTTTTAATTAAATTTAGTATGTGCTATAATTTAATGCAAAATTAGTATTTTTAGTTTTCTAATTTTAATTTGTTTGTGTATTTATTTTTTAAATTTTCAAATCCAGTTTGTTCTGTTGTCAAGTTTCAATGTAACAATGTTGGATTTTATAGTGGGTTTTCCAGTAATTTTATTGTAAGTCTAGGTTCGTTCACTAGAAATTGTATATTTGCTGCCATTAGGGGTGTTCAAATATCAATTAAACCATTTTTAAACTGCTAATCAATCCAAAAAAGTTGAAAATTGAATAAACTGTAAAATGATCAAACTATAAACTAAAAATATTGTTTGATATTACTGCTCAGTTTAGTTTCCATATTCCTAAAATTGAATCAAGCTGAATCGAATTGCATATAATAAAAAAATGTTATTGTTTATTTTATTTTTATATAAAAATATTTATTTATTTGATTTTATCATAATATTGTATAAATATATATAGTACATTATTTTTATTTATTTTATATTCTCATTTTTAATTGAATTTTTCGTCTATCAATAATTTATTACTTTTTTTTATAATTTTATTCTTTTAATCATTTTTTTTTCTATTTTTAATTTTTTGAAAAAATTATTTCAATTTTTGAATTATTATTTATTCTGATTTAAAAATAAATTTGAAGTAATATAATAATCAATAAAATTTTGAAAAATAAAATAATTTAATCATAAAAAATTAATCCAAATTGAATTGATATTTTGCAATTTAATTTGATTCAATTGTTAAAATGTACTTAAAATGAACTGAACCTTTTATTTATGGTTCAAATAACTTCGAGTAAAAATTAAATTGAACCGAACGGCGAAAATCCTAGTTGCCCTAATATGCTGGCTCTGAGAAGGAAAGTCTTGGTAGGCTTTCACAGTGAGAAGTTGATATGCTTTTGTGATTTTTTTTTACTGTTTTTTAGTCACACGAGACAAATATTAGGTAGTTCCACGAAAGTGATCGCCATGTGGGTGGACCGAAGCCTTTTTGGTCACATTCTCCAAAGTTGTTATTCCTTTCATTTTTTAATTTATTTATCAATTGTGATTACGATTTATTCACATATTTTTAATTTGTATTCAGTTATATGAGTAGCGTACTGCGCCTGATAAGGGCAATGTTTCATCACTCAATCCCATGCGTGCTTATTATCTTTACATATTTAATACCTTAATCCTGTCCTTCAAATATGAGAATCTTGCTAAGTGGATTATGATACATACTCGACTCTTTTCTTTAATTAATATTTTAAAAAGTTAGTACACTCTGTTCCTTTCCTTTTGTTTAATAATTCGTGTTAAAATTATTTAATCTTTTAATATGTCCTTATCTATCTTATTCAATACTCTCATATTCTGTACATTATTGTTTATTTTTCTTTCCTGATAAGATTATAAAGTAAGGGTAACATGAAGGACTGATGTAAATACTATAAGGCCTTATTACATTAACACATGTAGACTTAATCTATTTAGCAAGAGGTCATGTGTTTAAATTTTATTGGATATAAATCATTTTTTATCAGTAACAACTACCAACCTCGAGTTAAAGTTTGTTTTTAACCCTTTAAATTTAAGGACGCTTGGTTATATTCACGTTGGTTGAACAGAAAAATAGCAATTATTTAGTAGAGAGAATAATACTTAATATTATTTTAAACTTTCAAAATGATGGATGATTCAAACAAAATATTCCAAATGACATATTCGACATATTTAATTTTTATTTTAAATAAATAAATAAATATCATGAACTACTTTTCTAATTTCCATGGACACGTGATATAAAAGACAGTGAAAACAAAAAAATCTTTACTAAAAATATTTATTGTATATAAAACAAAAAAGTCATTCAATGCATGATTTTATTAATAATTAAAAACATTTAATAGAATGTATTTAATATTTTTTTAAATATATATCTATACTTATAAGTTAAGAAATCGTATAAAAATATATTTTTTAACGAAATGTATCAAATATATAGATATATACGTAGAATGCTTAAAATTAATTCAATTTTGTTGCATGTATAATGCCCCCCCCCCCCACCCTTTTTTCTTTTACATTTTCTTGTCCTCAACACTTTTGGTACTCATATATTTAATGATATTTTTTATTGTATGTTTCTCATAATAATAATAATAGTTTTATGCGTTTATAATGATATTTGTAATTTTCTTCTCAATTTTACTAATATAATAGTATATAGATAGGTACGGTAAATTAAAAGGAATTGAAGGTAATCTATATAATAGAATTTGAGAAAATTGGTTTGCTCCAAGAATAAAGGAGAAACGATAAGAATAACACAGACTCAAATCATGCCAAACTTATCTATGGATACAAACTTATCTATGTCAGAAAGAAACCTGATTTTTTTTCGCATACCATTTTATCATTGTCGTCGGTTCTCCTACCGTTCTCATTTTCATTGCTTAATTTTATAAATTCTTAAGCCTCTAGGCACTAGGCACCAATCATGACTGCTGAGATACACCTAATAGAAAACTCTACAGATAAGTATGCCCACTAAATAATTGCGAGGAATCAAATTCAGTATTGACAACCTAAAAGAATCTCAAATAAAGAATATGAGCTAGAATTATCATATTTTAAAATCAAATAAAGTAAGATCCACTCTTTTGCTCTGGCAAGAAGTGGAGACTAAGCTCAACAGTAGGCAAATAGATTCTTGAAGGACATTGGAAATAGAGACCTACTAGCATGCCAGCTCAACATATGTACTAGGTTTATTTTATGTAAGTATATTTACCTTGAAATATGACAATAATCATGAGATTCAACACTGTTATAATATTTGAGTGAAATGTAATCTTTTTTGTTTTTAGTTAAAATGCGAAACAATGGCATGCTGAAGGGCTCCCCACCTTAGACTATATTAAATGAACAATGGTTCTAAATACATAATTAAGGGTCATATTATTTACAGAAACCATATTTTATAGTGAGTGGTTTGGCTTAAAATGATATCAGTGGTTTGTTAAAATAATGCTTTATAATTTTTAATTATATATGTACGGGCCAGGAATATGCTAACTTATAAAAACAAGGTGGGTGCGTGGTTAAGATGAGGTGTGTCTCATACATCATTTAACATTCAATAGCATAAATTTATTGTTAAAAGTTAAACATAGTGCGAGTGTATTAGATCTCTAATATACGACCGAGAAATCAGAGTAACTATTTTACCAACAAGGCGAGAATAAAAAAATTCACTAACAGGGTTTGCTATTATTTAAGTTTACAAATCACACGTGATGACAAAATTTCTACTTCAAAGTTCAAACTTCAATAAGAGCCATTCCAAAGTCCATCGAACTTTCAAAGAAACAACGATCAAAAGAATGTTTAAAAAAAGACTTGCACGTTGTGCCACAGTAATTTTAAAACAAATTTACAATTATATAAACAGATTTCGGTGCTATAATGCAGCATTTAGTTCAAGGCATATGAGTGCTTCCACCATATTCAGCACAAAGCTGAAAATTAATACATGATTTCCATCACCATGGATTCCAAGGTTGCATTCTTGGAATCTGTTCAACAATACCTACTTGGGCACGATTCAAGAAATGTCATGGACGTTTTAGAACCTAAAAGCCACCAATCTACATCTCATGATCCATTTTCAAACCCTACATGTGATGGTGATTCGGAGAACATTGTTTTATGTAGGGAGCATGCATTGACTATGGTGGAGCGTGAAGTACACGCGCCACCAACATGGAAGCACTGCAGAGGCGTGAGGCGTAGGCCGTGGGGAAAGTTTGCGGCGGAGATAAGGGATCCAAAGAAGAATGGAGCTAGGGTTTGGCTTGGAACTTATGAAACCGAAGAAGCAGCAGCTTTGGCTTATGATAAAGCCGCTTTCAAGATGCGTGGTCAAAAAGCTAAGCTTAACTTTCCTCATCTTATTGGCTCGGATAATAAATTGTTAGAGCCAATGAAAGTGACAACTTCTAAGCGGAGGTTGTCAAAAATTTCTCCACCTTCATCGCCATCTTCAGAAGATAGTTTAGAGTCACAGGGAATAAAGAGGAGGAAGGGCTTAGTTGATTTACTGAATAAGTTAGCTAAGAATCTAAGCCAAGCCAAGGTGGTTGAAGTGGGGTTAGAGGAAAGTTGCAGATCATTTGTTGAATGAGAGTTCAGTGATTATAGTCTAATTTGGTACTAAGATAGAACATGATTTTGTTTATGTTGGTGCAGTTGGTAAAGATTAATGAAATTATATGTATAATATTGATGAGATTCAGGTAATTATGTTTTATGATATAGATGAGGATCCTGACACGGCAATAAATCCAAGAAAAGGTTGATTATTAGTTGTAAAATAGTCAAAATACTATAGATATGCATGCAAGGACAAATTTAATTTATTTGATCATTAATACAACTTCATCCAAAATGATGGATGTGTATTTATGAAAAGCTTGTTATTATTTTTTTTGCTAGCTCCACCTTTCAATCTGAGAAAGAAAAAGTTGATTCTTCCATTTAAATACAAGTATTTAAGAGTAATTTCGTAATACGATATTGAAGTCAATAAAAAAACAAAACTAAACAATTGGACCCTTTTCTCCCTTTTTCTCTCGTTAAAATTATCTGTATTTGAAACTTTTGGGTTAATCCATGGACTCAAATAAATCGAATCAAATTGTTAAGCAAAATTTGAATTTGTTTGGGTTGACAAGTCTATATGAGTTCAATTCATACAAAATGCCTCCGATTTAAGTAATGGGTTGAGAAAAATGAACTTGACAAAATCAAATTGAACTAATGATATATTAGGTGTTTTGTATTATCCCTAATTTCTCTAATAATTCCTTTCTTAATTTCTAGATTTTATTTTCCTTTTTTTTCACTATGCCTATGGCCTTGAATAAGTTAAATTTGATTGTATTTCTTTTTACATTTGCCTTTCTACTTAAATTGATCCTTGCCTTGTTTAATTTCTTTTTCATTTTTTAAGGTTTGGATCTCACAAAATTTTCATTTTCCCTTTTAGTTTGATCATCGTTTAAGCAACTAGTCTCATGCATGTGTAGAAATGATTATAAATCTAATAGTTGTGGCCATCAACTAAGCCATGGAACATAGCTTACAAAGGAGATGAGTGTACAAATTAAATGTATTCAACTTAAGCTAGGTTTTTGCAGGCTTAGCTCGCGTATGACTTGTAAATTTAATTTAAACCTAAAATATAAAATTTACAAGTTGGTTTATTTTGCACTCATTTTGTTGGTTCTAGTTCTTAGGGAGGAAGAAAGTTTGCTAACATGTGATATGTATCGTTCATGTTAGAAGATTTTGAGTTTAAGTTTAAGAAGAGAAAGATAAACAGAAGAGGTGATGTAAGATAAAAATGACTTTTTTTATAATTAATTTTAAATAAATTTTAGTTTAACATAAAAAAAGGACACCGACAGTGACTGCCACATCAGATATAAAACAACAGATAAGAATCAGCATTAAATAAATTCCATCGATTTCCCCAACAACCATTGGAATTATTTTAAAATAAAAGAAAAGGAAAAGAGTTAATTTTTAAAATGCAATATTCAATGGATATGTTGGCAATCAAATAAAAGGCACATTCTTCTGCTTTGCTTAATAATGTTTTGGTGCGAAATGGAGTCCACTTAAAAGAAATAAACTATCAATCTCTCCTAATATCTTGGGGAAAACTTAAGAGTATACACATCAATTCCCTTCTCCATGAAAATGAGTAATGTGAATGAATGTACCATTGCTTCAGGGCATATATTTTCATTTCTATCATTCATTCATTCTTTCTTTCTCTCTTTTTCTGGGGCCAGCTTGAAGGCGTTATTATTGTCTGAACCATTCCTATATCTTTACTTATACTATATATGAACCACGCTTTTGAGTTTTCTTTTACGTTTCAAGGATAACTTTTGTATAAAAAAATGTTATTTGTATCCCTAAAAATAAATATTTTTAAGTGTTTCACTTTTATATAGAATATGTTCTTAAACTGTATATAATTCAAACTTGGAATTGCTAGTTGTAACGTAAATAAATCATCTAGCCATTGGTTGAAATAACTTTATTGTTAAAAAAGTATATTTGTGTGCAAAAGGATTGTAGAATTTTCCATAAAAGGATAAATGTAAAATTAATTCTATTTTTTTTCTTGAATGCTGATTTTTCTTTTCCTATTTTTATCTTACATCTGAAGCGTACACTCTCTAATGATGTAAACAAAAGTTATCATTTATTAAAGAAAAATGATTTTTATACTTCGAAAGTGAAACATCTTTTAGTGCTCTTCTTTTATTTTAAAAATATATTTTAAGATGCATATATTTAAAAATTAAAAAATTAATCATATACAGTACCAATTTTTAAATGTTCAAGTAATAGAAAATTCTTTATTAAAAGTAGATTTTGCGTAATCTAATATTTTCACATCATCACTTTGGTAAGTTTATAGCTTACAACTGGTTAATCAAAGAGGAAATTAATTTCCATAAAAATATTCTTAGTAAAGGATTGCAGTTTTGTTTATGTTGAAATTTAAATTCTATCTCGTTTTTATTAGCTTGGTATGAATATTAATGTGGCCATATGCATTTGCTGGTCACAATTTAGTAAGCTCAACGCTTACTCTTTATTTAATTGAATAAAACAACGCTGTATTCACCAAAAGACAACAATGTGAAATTTTAATATCACAAATCTCTATTCTTATAAGAGCGATTTATGCATAAATTTAATCTAATTCAAACCTTTAAATGAAAAAACAACAAATTGTTATTATTATTCTTAATATTATATGAATATTATTATTATTATTATTATTACATGAAAAACGGAGCAAAACAGCTCCCTTAATGGAACAAGTAAAGACAATATATAATTAATGCTCAACGCAACGGTCGTTCTACCTAAGGGCTATAATATTTATTAAAAACTTTTACACATGCGCTAAATATGAAGTAATCTAAACTATTTTAAAAATGAATTGTGTATAACAAATTTTTTAACACGTTGATATACAACAATAAATTATATAATAATATTTAATTAAAAATTATAAGATATTATTAAATTTAATACATTAATAACATTAATACTATAATTTTTAAATCTTTTATTATTTATTAATTTCTTATTATATATATATATATAAACTTTAAAAAAGTATATATAATAAGTCGTTAACGCTAATTCAACGATGTCCACCGGTGGTTAAGGCAAAATACTAGCCTAACACATGTTAAATAGTAAATAAAGATATATATTGTGACATTTTCGTGAATTTAATTTTGTGTAGACTCTGATAATTAATTAGAAATCACCTTAACTATGATTTTTGAAATAATTATTGCAAAAATTAATAACTTTAAACTACATAATAGTTTATGATTGACATGACATTATAAAAAAAAACAATTTTATATTATTAATATATTTTAATTGAATTTTATTTTTACATATAAATGATTTATGATAAATCACACATGTCTAACAAAACCATAAAATTCAAAATAATAATTTCTCCCACAAACGAGAGACTAAAAATTTCTCAAACAGGCTTTGCTATTAGTTTATTGAACAAATTGCACGTGACAACAACTGAATGTCGCTCAACAATACGTTGAACTTTCGTAGAAATAACCTTAAAAATAACATTTAATGAAATAATCCCACGTTGTTCAGTTACCAAGTTTTGAATAATACAATTCCAAAGCAGAAAACATTGCTATAAATACAAAGTAGCTTAGTTCAGGGCTCAGTTCTTTCACAAACATCAAACTTCACCTCCAAAAACAAACACCATTGTCACCTCCAAAAACAAACACCATTGTCACCTTTAGCTTCCAAAATATGTCAGTCACCACCATGGATTCAGACTTTGCATGTTTGAAACAAATTCAACAATACCTGCTTGACAATGATTCAAGCATTCTAACATCACATCAAGCTCTTCCAAGCCCAAGCCACGATAATAGTTCACACACAAATGAGTTCAATTTTGAGCATTCTAACACCACGGCAGCGCGTGAAGTCCACGCGCCTCCAAAATGGAAGCATTACCGGGGCGTGAGGCGTAGGCCGTGGGGGAAGTTTGCGGCGGAGATAAGAGATCCAAAGAAAAATGGTGCAAGGGTTTGGCTTGGAACTTATGTAACAGAAGAGGAAGCGGCTTTGGCTTATGACAAAGCCGCTTTCAAGATGCGAGGCCGAAAAGCCAAGCTGAATTTTCCTCACCTCATTGGCTTGGATGAGCCGTTGGAGCCGTCGAGAACAACAGCTCCTAAGCGGCGGTTGACGGAAACTTCTCCACCATCATCACCAAATGATAGTTGTGAATCACAAGGGTCAAAGAGGAGGAGGAGGAGCTTAGTTGATCTACTAAATAACTTAGCCAAAAATAGAAGCCAAGCCAAGGTGGTTGAAATGGCCTTAGAGGCAAATGAGGTTGAACAATGGGTGGATGAATTGAGTGATTGCAGTTTAATCCAGTGCTCTTATTAGTGTTGTGTTTTTCGTTTGTGCAGTTCATAATTAAGTCTTTTTTTTGCTGTCAATGCAGTTTGAAATGTTTTTTGCACACCACTGAGTAATTTCAGTGCTGATGCTTGTCAACAACATAAGCATAAATAAAAATTACGAGAATGTTGAAAATTTTCCAATTGGCATTCCTTTATATCTGGTATTAGTTGAAAAATTGAATATTTAAGCAATGTAAACTTTGTTTGACTTTTGGTTACTTCAAACTTGGTCCAAGACATAATCTGTTTAAAGTTTTAATACAAAATATAAAAATTAAGCACACTGCGTATATGAAAAATAATGAGACGGATGACATTATGATTTGTTTTCTTTTCTGCATGATTTTCAAGTTGGAAAATTGACTTCCGTTATTAATATCGAGTTTTATGATATCCTTGTCAATTCCTTAATTTGGTCGTAGGTGATCGCTTTTCTTTTGCTATAGTGGATTGGAGAGACATTACTTCAAGTATGCAAAAGCTGACTTAGACACTTTTTTTCTTTTTGGTATATATTAGCAATTTAGACACTTCTTGATTGAGAATCTTAAAATATTGTTTTAAAAAGCTATGCAACAACTAAGGAGAGTTAGATTTAGGGGAAAGAATTAATTCACATGATAGTGAATTGAATTAGTTTGATTTCTGATTAAGAAAGTAGCTCGCATGTCACTAGTGTTTAATTCTTTTTCAAGGAAAATTATCTCTTAAAAGATACTTATTAACATCTAAAAATGGTAAACTTTAATTAAGGACAAGTTGAATATTAGTAAGGTGGTAAACTGGTATGTTTTTTTAAAACATAATTCATTTTTGTTATGGTTTAATTATAAATTTAACCATTGAACTAATCGAATCATGATTCAGAGAGTTCAATATATGGTAAATGAGAAATAAATGTTTGATTTTTTATTTTTTTGGGAATATACTCCATTTATATTTATGTAAATGAATTGCATTGCAAATTTATGACATAATAATGAAAAAAAGAGAGGGAGATGGTTAATGAAGTAGCTAATTAGGTATTTTCTTCTATCAATACTAAGTTTTTGGTCTACTTTTGCATTTCGTTTACCAACAGAAAAATATGCAAAGTTGAAAAGAAAATCAGTTTTTACGGCATCCACGCGAATTATGTTTGTAATTTGTTCATTATTAGAATCACAGAGCAAGCCTACTGAAATTTCAAGGGATTGTCTATTATAAATGGTTAAACTTTTGTAAATATGAATCTTGATCACTTTGTGCAGTTCTTAATTAGCCTCGGTTCGCAAGAATTTTAAAGAGAATTCGTTCATTAGGTAAGTCTAACTCAGTAATCTCATGTTAAAACTACATAAATCCCAAGTTATTAATTTGAAGATATCTGGAACTTACACCTAAGTTGAAATTCATAATACAGTTGCTTTGACTTTCAATTTCTTTTACAAGTTGAAGATTTAGCGCTCTATGTTTTGTTCATGTGGAATTTATTTTACTTAACATAAACATCGAAATTCTACATCCATATTATGTGTCACACTTGTAAACATTATGGTATCTGGTGTTCTGTTTCCAAAGCCTAAGATGCCTCATGCTCATAAACCATACACTATACACCTGAGAATACGTGTATATTACTCAGCTAATAATTAATTTATATAAACAACTCTGATTTGAATTGATTCCCTTTCTAGAAAAGTATAAAAGAAAAGTGTAAATGCACATGTGCTGCTGGTAAGTATATAATGTCATTACTCTATCTCATATAATGATGTCATGAATTACTATATTATAATAATAACACGTGAAAATAATCTTTCATTTTTCTATTGAAGGTTGAAGTTAAGTAGACTGGCTAAACTGCTATATTCCAATAATTTAGAAGAGCTTTTGCGCATCATAATCTGCATAATAAGATTTGATTCCTTTTGTTATTCAGGAAATTAATGTAACGTGGCAATTATTGTATCAGTGAAACGAACAATGAAGGGAAAAAAGTCGCAGTAGATGAATTTTGGTTTCCAATTTTACTAATTTTAACTTTTGGAATTAAGTTTAAGTATTTAAAAGTAGTAAAATTTTATTAAAATAGTTTATTACAATTTTTAGATGTTTAAATCGGGCGAAGAGTGTCAAGCAAATATAAATCTATGTTAAGAGTGCTTACTATATAGTTAGTAATATTAAGAAAGCCTCAAATAAATTTGGTAAATATAATAATTTTATATTTATATTGAGATATAAAAGAATGCTATGAATACATTCTTTAAAACACTATTTTTAATAAAATAAAATTTATTAAAAATTATAAAAGCAAGAGAGATAAATATTAAATTAAAAGTAAAAAAAAGATTCATAAATTTTTTGTAATTTTTGATAAATTCTAATTAATAATTAATAATATATTGAAAATAGTACGTTAAAAACGTTACTTTATTGAAAGACTATTATTTTTTAAATCTGTAGAATAAAGAATTAGTCACACTATCGTGCGGTACACAACCCGAGAAATGATAGCAATTAATCTTGATTGTACAAGATTACTTATCCCTTTCGTGGTAGCAAAAATAGAAAAGAGTAACATTTCTATTATCTATTTCTATTAAATAATTATAAATATAATAATATTTTCATTATTTTTTAATTTTAAAAGTTTATGTAATAAAAACAGGTCGACAAAGAATTATAAAACATGTATGTCATCCACGGCCAAAATAATGAACACGTTGTGGCCCATGTGCAGATGTGCTTTGCTAATTTTTTTAACAAAAGTAAAGAAAAAAGCACTGAATATTTTCACTCTCTTGCTATTTGCAAGATCTCTAATGTCCATCAATCATCTCATAAGGTATTTGGAGACAGATAACGTTTGACCAATTATCAACACCCAATTTTGTCTCCGAGGCAGACAAAACATCATAATTTGCTAATTATCTTTTTATTTTAATAGTTGTAATTTGTATTTAATTTTACCTTTATTCCTTTTTTATTTTTTACCCTTTTTTTTTGTTGTTAAAAAACGATTAGGAAAAAAATAGTTAAAGTTGTCTAAATTTTTTGTCCATTGCCCTAGCCCATCCCATATTTTGGCAGGAAAAATTATTGAATATTGGGCTTAGAATCCTGAAAATCACACTTTGGGAGAGCTACAGGGCCTAGTTGTTAGATATTTAACTTAGAACTTTCAAATCCTTATTTCTCATTGGTCACAAACCTCTCGACGAAGGTTTCAGGAATATAAATATATCATCAAGATTTCCCACCAAAGCAAAAGCACACAGATATGATTTTAATAGAATATCAAAATCATTAAGGATTACAGCATTAGCTTTAGATCATCACTACTCCCCCTTGGTTATTTTCTTCTTTGCTGAATAAAATTTAGTTCATTAAAAGAAGTAAAAAGAAAAGAAAGAAAAAAGAACATCCCTAACAGTAGTAACCCTGTATGGAGGGTCTAGACCCTAATAGCAGTGCTACAAAACTTTAAGATAAAAATATAGGGGAAAAAGAGTGAAAGTGAAATATAAATGATATGCCATAACTGAATATAATAATTTACTTTATCTTCACATTTGACATTGCAGGAGAATGGGATACTGTTTGAAGTCCAAACTTGTTACGAGGAGCTTCAGCAACAGCAGCATCATCATCATCCTCTACATTGGCAAATCAGCCAGTAGCTTCATTAACAAATCGACACACTATACACAGTACACCTGTCAGCAGTAGATGGTATGTTGTTGTCTTTGCAGTAAACATCAAGGTTCGTCTTTAAAAAATTGACAACGGCTTTACCAGTTCTTAAAACTGTACAAACTCCACCTTAGTGCCCAAAAATCACAATCCTATCCACACTAGTTCTTTTCAGGGACCAAAGTGTCACTTGGTTAAGGAATTATATGATCAATACTTGTGATTTTTAGGTCTTAAGGTGAGATCTTTATATTATCAAGGACTAATGTGTCCCATGATGAGTTTCTCAGGAACAAATTTGGTGTTTAATTCATTGTCTTTGAGACTTAATACTGATAACAGCAAAAGTATGCTTCTGAGTTCTGATGCTATCACCGGTGGAAAATTTCAGGATTGAGAAGGCAAACACCAAAAGAACAAGGATGGTTGGATAGCACTCTTCATTTCTCTGTTTTTCTTCAGGTAGCATATGTTTGATTTTGGTATTTCTATAATTGTATATATTGGTGTGAGGAGTCGGTTTTTCCTTTGGCATTGAATCAATTTCAGTAGAGAATTGTTTCCCAGTTTGCAAATCTGCAGTGGAGTTGTATGAAACATGGTCATCTTATTGATAGAAAGTGAGAGGTCTTTGGTATAAGGGGTGAGTGACACTGCCATTTAAACAAGCCAAAAGAGAGCGCTATTTTCATATAATCCAATTGGGACTTTCCATAAATACAAAATGGATTCACAGGTGACAAGCCAACGAGACTTTCGATAATCTCAAAGCTAACTGTCTCTTGCAGGATGTAGGTAATTGTAATCATCAAAAGAATAATATAAGAACCTTTCCAGTCCAACTTATTTCAATAAAAGATGACCTTAGATGCATCTGACAGACAGACAAGCTCATCAAAGGAAACCTGAAAAACAGAAAGAAAATATTGACAAACTTAATTTTGCTGTTGTATCTGCTGTTCCACTTCTACGAAAACATGAAGTGGAACAGGAAGAGAACACTGGATGAGAAACTACAAAGGCATGATATTCAAATAAACTTTAACTTTTGATATAAAACTCATAAGTTAAGGATTTCAAACTTTCTAGAATTTCAATGGGATGATGCAAATGTAAGATTACCTCATGAGTTACAGACTTGGTGCCTTTCATGACCCCAGGTGTTGATCGCATTAAATAGTAGTCTAATGCAGAATTCAGTATCAAGATGTCGCAAATCTCACATCATTAGTGGCAAGGGTATTTACCCCCAAATACTTCAAATACAAAATTCAACTAGTTACTGATCTAGATGCAACCAGCCTTAGAAAGCATCAAGGCCCATCATACATTTTGTTATTTAGTGACTTTGAGTGCCAAACGATTTTCCTTGTATATTCTTGCAGACAAATCAGAAACAAGAGCATACTTATTGCTTTCATAGCATGCAGTCATAAATGCTGCTAAAGTCACACGATTGACACAAAGGTCCATGTCTAGTAACTTATGAAAGAACAGTGCTGCTATACCTACTTTCCTCTCGCTACATAACTTCCTGACCAGGGTATTAACTGTCCGGATCCAGAGTTTTTTTTCTAGCCTTTCAAGAACAACCATAGCAGAGCAACAGTCATCTATCTTGCAATATTCATAAGCCAGAGTTACTCGAGTAACTTCACATGGAGTAAGTCCCTTTTCTATCATTGCATCATACAACCTACGAGCCTCATCCAACTTTGACTGTTTACAAAGCCCACTTATAAGAGCACCATAAGTAATAGAATCCGGAGTACAACCGTGGTCACTCATCCTATGGAAAAACTTCAGTGCCAAGCTCAAATTGCCTTCTTTGCAATAACCACATATCATTGATGTATAAGTTTTGTTTGTTGGTACAAGTCCAAATCTCACAGCTTCCTCAAAAAACATCTTGCTTTCTGTCATTCTTTTTTCCCTACAGAAAACTGCAATCAATGTGGTGTATGAATGAATGTCAGGTTGAATACCACTTTTGACCATCTTGTTGAATAACACCAATGCTGGCTTTATCTCTGCCTGTTTGCAATGTTCAGCTATGAGAATAGTATAGGTGACTTTGTCAGCTTTCAACCCATTATTAAAGCTACTCTTAAGCACTTCATAAGCCTCTTTTACCCTTCCCTTTTTACAAAGGCCATCAACAATGGCATTATATGTACAGATATTGGGACTGAAACCCTCCTCATTCATTTGATTCATCAAATCATATGCTCTTTCAAAATTTCCTGCTTTGCAGTGCCCATCAATGAGAGTTGTGTATGTGTTTGTGTTCGGGACTAAGCCCTGTTCTTTCATTCGACTCAGCAGCATTTCTGCCCGGTTCAGTTTATCATCTTTGCAATACCCACTTATCATGGCAGTATACGTAAGAACATTAGGCTTGTGATTTTCACTTCGAACAAGCTTAAGAAACAGTCTGAATGCCTTTTCAGTCCACCCTTTCTTGCAGAGACCATCAATCAACGCTGTATGTGTATACACATTAGGCTTCCAACCTTTACCAACCATCTCCTCCAACATTTCAAACGCCTGCTTGATGCTGCCCCTTTTGCACAACCCTTCAATCATAGACGTGAAATTAATCAAATTGGGCTTCAAACCCATGTCACTCAACTTACGGAAATACCATAATGCTCTCGTTGCAAAACCCTTCTCACAGAATTCACTGATCATTAACGTCATCGTTGCATTATCAACCACAAATCCCCTCTCAAGCATGACACTTAACCACCTATCCGCCTCCACAACATTACCCATCTTACAGTATGCAACAACCATCATCCTATAGCTAGCAGAATTAGGCTGAACCCCTCTCACACACATTTCCTCAAACAGGTACTCTGCATATTCAACCCAACCCATTTCACTAGTAACCTTAATGACCCAATTCAGTGTTCGAGTATTGGGAATCAAGCCTTGGTTATGCAACTCAATAACCATTTCCACAGCCTCTTTCAACCTCCCAATCTCAGCAAAACTCTTCACCATACACTGAACCACTTCATGTGCTTTCTCTGAATTCGCATTCCCAATGAGAGACGTTGCACACACAATGTAAAGGCGCATGAAATGTCGAAACTTGGGGTACCCAATTGCCCAATTGAAGAAGCTCAGAGCCACCATTGAACCAGCTTCACCTGCAAGCGAAGCAACAATGGTAACAGCTTGCTCGTGGGTCAAGGAATCAGCATCAACGTCAAGGTGGAGTCTTGGAGAAGAAACTCTCATGTGGGCATGCTGATAGTATGAATCACACACCAACGAGCAAACCCTTTTGACCATGGACTGGGATGCAGGCATGGATGATGATGATGATGAAGAAGAACAGTAGCACAGTGTTTTTCTGCTAAGGATGAATGATGAGGTGAGTCTTTGTGTAAAGCCATGAGTTCTGAGAATCACGGAGGACAACATGAAAAGAGTGTTAGTGGAAACCAAATGTGGCAATCAAGTTCTTACTACGAAGTAGTATTCCAGTATTTGAAGTTTGAAAAATAAATTAAACTTGAATAATTAAAATTAAAATGATTAAAATTATGCATAGTTTACAGTAAATGAATTAAGTCTTAAAAGAAGTATAGACATATTTTAATATGTAGTGATTGCGAAAATTGCTTTCATATTTTTATTTTATTGGCTTTGTTAATTAAATGATTAATAATACTTTTTTATTAAAATAAATATTTATTGTATTTTTTATATTTTTGATACAATAAATTAATTTTTAATAAAAAATATTATTTTTAAATATTTAAACTTAATTTTAAAAATGAAGTTAATAAAATTGTTATTTTGTTATAAAATTTATATTAATGAATCATTTATTTATCATGCAAATAAATATATTTAATTGTTAATTTACCAAAAAGAATATATATTTAATTGTTAAATATATAAATTATCTTATATAGTAGTATAAACATTTTTAAAAGAAAAATAAATTTATAATATATGATTATTTTGTAGCGATAATTTATTGTTTTATAAAAAAATTGAATATGATATCTTTAATTGTTGTTATTTAAAATTTTTATTTTGATATATTAATACTTGTTGTAGTATATAAAAAATTATTTTTTCGAGTGAATAACTTTTATTACTAATTCTGATAATTTTTAAAATAAAAATGACATAAATTCTTAATATAAAAAATATTAAATAACTGCTAAATGTTTATTTCAGGCTACAAAAGCAGGACACACTGCCAGTCCGAGTGTGATGTGATTATGAAGAAAAGCTTAGAGTGAAGTAATATAAAAGCTGCAGTGAGATTGTGAAGAAAAGCTTTGAGTGAGTCCAATCTTTTTGGTTTTAATTTTTCGTTAAAAATTTCATGTCGTGGCTTCTGAGAAATTTTCGCCTTCAATTTTACTGACAATTCAGTGCAAAGTTGGCATATATTTTTATGTGGTTTTCTTTTCTTTTTTTTTTGCTTTTTTATGCTAATCCATAGTCTGTCTATGATGGTTAATTTTGGTTCCCTTCCTTTGATTACAATGAAGAATTTCGATTTTCTCTTATGCCTGTTTACGAGGATGCTTGTATGATTCAACAGTTTGGAAGTGCCTGTCGCATTGTCATATGTTGTGTTTGATAAATTGTCTGAAAGGGATGCTGGGAGCTCCTCTCAGCTTCAACTACCGCTGCAATTACAGAAATAGAGTCCCTTTGGAGATTAATATAAAACTTTTATGGTATATATATGTTTGTATATCCACGCGCTTAAACTTTTTATAAAAAATAAATTCACATAATTTAAATAATAATTAATATTTTATCCCTTCACAATATTTTAACAAATGATATATTATTCAAAATATAAGTTTGTTATTGAATTACTGATATAAAAATGTCCAAGTTGTGTAAATTTTTATATATACGATCTTCATGGTAATAGTATAAGAATCAATAGTCGGATTGATAGAATTGGTGTTTGATGAAAAGCTATTGAAAGTATCGTTTTAGTAGGTTTGACACAAGTGCTATTTGATCCTGACTTGTATATATAATGTATTTAAGATATAAGTTTTATTATTATTCTAAAAACCCCATTTTTACATCTTAAAAATAAGCTATTTTTTACTTTTAATTTTAACATTCTAAAAAAATTAATTATAATAAAATTTTTAAACATGTTTATGTGTGTGTCTGTGTAGCTGAGTCTTGTGTCTGTTTCTTACCACACTCAGCTCAATTGCGATTGGTTTTGTAAATACTATAAGTATTTTTGTTTAGTGAGTGAATGCTACTAGAGTAGAAGTGAGTTGAAGTTCATTGTCCCTGTGATTTTTTAAAATATCGATTTATTGCCATTTAAAAATGTGATGATTTCTTTTATACTAAAGAATGGTAAACAAAAACGTTTATAATGTTGAAGACGTCTAAGCTGAGCTTCTCTTGCTGCCTATATTGGACATTTGGACTTGTTAGTTTAATGACCCTTATGCAGTGTTCACATCTTCTAACATTCACTGTGCTTGATTCAAACATTCTGTGAAGATCCACAAATGGATCGTTGGAGTGGAGTTTTGAGAGTGCCATTGCATCATAACAGTGGGACATACCATAGAGTTGGTGCATCGCTCTGCCTTTCTCCTGAAACCAAAACCCTGAGGGTAAGTTAGTTCCTTAAAGGTGAACCCCCAAAGTTAATAGATAAGAGTAGAGCTTTCAATTCACATCATCTAAAAGCGGAACAAGTTACTTGTTATAACTGTCATAGCCTTTTATTTTATATTTTAGCTTTAATTGGCTTGCTTATTTTTGCTGTTTTACAAAAGTAGAAAATCGTGCCTTGGACTCTGCTGTAAATTATTTGAATTTCTTTTATCTGTAAACCGAAGTTATCTTTTCTAGGTTATGGACTTACTGAAAATGTAAACATATCATGGCTCAATAATGCTTTCTATGCGAGCATGAGAAGAAGTTGGTCAATAATTTGCTTCTCATTGTAAGCAATCACTGGTGAGCATTTTTTTTTTCTTGAATTGACTTAGTATGGTTATTCCCTGTGTGTGGTTAAAATTTTGCGAATTGATGGGCTTATGTATATAGGTTTTCACTATTTTGAAAATGTGAAATAGAGCATTTTGATATGCTTGCAACTTCAATTCAGAAGTCGCTGTTTCATTTTCTTGAATAAGGATGTTTCCAAACCTTTACATCACCATTGCCATTTTGCATATCAAGCATTATTCTTCTGATTCATTGCAGGTACCTGTAGCGAATGCCATCTTCTTCTGTGGTGATCAAGTCGAAGGGACTGGTAATCCAGTGATTGAAAGGCTATCAGACTTACAGAAACTATCTGAAATTGTTGTTTCCAAATTTGGTTCTTTCATCAATGCTTGGGTTATTGAGGCTTCTGTTTTCAATGGACCTTTTGCTGTCTATAAGGACTTCATGCAATCTGTGAATCAATATGGAGAGCCAATGTCATATCATCCAACTGGGTTCCCTGCATCTACATCGACTGTCTCACTCTTATCTAACTGTCTTGAAGAAGTATGCCCTGTTCTTCGCCTTCTTATATGCTACACATTGCTTTTTCCATGACTACAACTACTTTACTTCATGCAGTTGTTGTTGGGTCCAAGTAATGTTTTGGCTCTTAATGCACAGTAGTTCAAGAATCAAAGCAGAGAGATATTTGCATTTATGGTTTAAAATCTAAACCAGTATTGATGTCTGTATAGTAAAACTTCTATGGCTAGATTTGGATATTCTATGCCATTTCATAAGCCTTAATAAGACTACCTTCCCCATTAGGTCAACCAGAATGGAAGACAGCAAAAGGAAAAAAAAATAGAGATTCTCATAAAGAGAATCCTCTTTGCTTTTTATCAAAACAAAATTCACACCTGAAAACCTTCCTCATTCCTAGTCCTATCTGTCATGTGTGCTGGGTGTTGACAACATAAATTTCCATCTTGACCATTATTCACATCATATAATCCTAGTAACTGTATAACCAAATCTTTAGCAAATGTATTCCATATTCAAACCAGGTTCTGGCTCCTTAGCCTCTGTAAATTGATGATCCTTTGCAGAATCTACCGTTTTGCACTTGTTCGCAACTTGTAATCACTGCTTGCATTGAATGCTTTCCATATTTTAAATTTCTTGTAATGCAGGTGAAAGAAGTCATTTTGGGAAGGCAAGTAGATACAAAACCTGACTGCACTTCTTCCTCCAGTTTTAACCAGCCCAAAACATTCATTCTTGGATTTAGCAAAGGTGGAGCTGTACTTAACCAGATAGTTACTGAGCTTGGCTTCTCAGATATTGAATCTAATGTGAACTTACCTGATGTGGGACAACCTATGGTAAAAAAATCCAGTGGGTCAGAGGAGATTTCTATAGTACCTAATACAAAGGAATGCTTACTGAACAGCATCAGTGAGATTCATTATGTTGATGTTGGTTTGAACTCTACTGGGGCATATTTAACTAACCATGATGTTTTTGAGAGAATCTCCAAAAGGCTCATACAAGGAGCCCCTCAACTCCGCTTTATCCTTCATGGAACTCCAAGACAATGGAGCGACAAACGGCGAGTTTGGATAAGGAATGAAAGGGACACAATGCTGCATTTGCTTGAATCTGAAGCCCATAAGAGTAGGGGGAAATTAGAAGTGTGTACAAGGTATTATTTTGCAGATAAGTCTCCAAGTATGCAGATGCACTTTGAAATAATTGAAAGTTTAGACGTAAGTTAATAATTCATATTTCATAGGTCGAATGAAAAATGTCCTAATCATCTGGTTGATTGACACTATCTAGTGTTCTGTTGGATTGTTCAAAAATGGAAAAAGTGAATTTCACTAGTATTCCCTTTAGCTAAGCTAGATGGTGATTCAAATCTCACAAGATGTATCACATGTAACATGAAGTAAATTAATACCGCTTCGAACATCATCTATCTAATGTTATATGGAATAGAGCGTGAATGTTCGTAAATTAATACTTCTTCCATCTCATATTATATGTTACTTTGAGTATTTTAATTTATTTTAAAATGTTTAAAGAAAATGTTTGTTATTTTTTTTCTAATAATGTTTTCATTTATTGGTAAATCCTATCTAACTATTTAAATAAATTTGTTTAGTATATTTTAAATCTTTTATTAGGGGAATTTTTGTTGAAAAAAAAGCCCATTTGATCATAATAGTTTATATAATTAATTATTTTTTTAAATATAGATTACCCCTTAAAAGATAAATAGTATTAGATGGTAGAATTATAAAGTAAACTTCATTAATTAAACAATTGTTCTGCTTTAGTTGCATCGCAAGCTATTCCAAGCCAAGAATCAAATCTATAAATAGTAAAAGAATTGATGATATATTATTGGAAGTGTGTAGAGAATGTCATCCTTTTCTTCAACCGCAAAATTAGAGATACCATTACCCCACTCTAAATACTTGTTTAACTACAGCTTTTGTGTTCAAGTATTCACAGCAAAAAAATAAAAATGGCGATGAGCATGGGTTTCATGGCAGGAAAAGGTCATTAAATTTCTATCCCTTCATATAGTACTTATTTTGTCTTATACTAATGCTATATCATTTTAATTTTTAATCACAGGACTGTCAACGACCCAGATGGTGGATTTGGTAATGGATACACTGTATATGCGATTTGCTGAAAAAAATGTCAATGATTTTGATGGATTCAATGTTGGCATTCTCGATACCTTCAAGTAAGCATGCAATTCAATTCCAACGAAAATTTAATCTATCATCAAGTTATTTCCTTTGGAATGATATGTAAATGAAGATAATTAAAAACATAAAAGTTACATAGGATGTAATTAATGATTAAGACGCATATAGTAATTCAATGGTTAGGATCTAGTGTTTCATTTGTAATTGTGAAAATACTTTCAATTATGTTTGTTTTTTAAATCCTCAATTGACATATTTTAGAGCGTGTGAAATTTTAAGAAGATATTTTCATGTCAACAATCAGAATAAAACAAAATCATTGAAGTCCTTTATTTTGCCATACATTTATACAGTAAATAATGGAAAGCGCATTGAAAATAAAATTTCGTTTGGAATGGACTCGTAGCCCATACACACTGCTTCATTTGATAAACCTTTCTTGTTATCCACTCTCTCAAAAAAGTGGTTAATCTTTGTCACTCATTCTTGGTAATAAATTGAATGCAGCACTATCAACATGGCCTTACCCGGCAAGCATTATGTTGCACCATCATATAAAGATGTAAAGGTTAGTTATCCTCTGGGATAACGTTTACTTCATTTGCATGCATCATAAAACTTCTTATGCTAAGACAACAATTTAATTTTTATTTGTTAGTATATAATAAGAACATATATATAATAGTTTTTATTAAAGATTAAAAGATATCTTGAAATCCAATAGTTTGATAATATTGCATGTTATAATTTTTAATAAAAATTTACTATTTATTAATTTTTTAACATGTGTCCCTAAATACATATTAAAAAATTTGCAGTATAATTTTATCTGACAAGACTAAAAACAAATCCAATAACTACTATTTTGAACTTTGAAGGGTTGATATTAATATGGTCCATAAAAGATATTTAGTAACACCGTAGTTTCTAAAATATAAATAGTGACTTCTCATTTATTCTTCTGTGACACATTGTTTTAACAATATATATTTATTGTCACTAACTCTACCTTAGCATTCGCATGTATATGATTTTCATTTCTCTAATAAATTTATCAAATTTTTCCTTCTTCAACTAAGTTTTTAAAGATTGATATTGTTAGTTGAAGTGAGGTAAAAGGATTTCATTGAGTGCAACTTCAAAAACAAGAGAGAACCTAGATTTCTTTGGGAAAAAAATTTCTATCTCGTGCTCTTCATTCAAAATTTTGCACAAGGCAATAAGATTTTCAGTTATACTCAGATACTTTCATTATTCAGAACTTGTTCAAGCAATGGAAAGAAGCGAAAGAGGAAGACAAAAAGAAGATGTTCATTGACTTCATTAATGAGAATGTGAATATCAACAAAGTGGATGAATCTATGATAATCACTGCAATAGTGGCACCACCAGCAGCCATGATGGCTAAAAAAATAGGAAAAATAGTGCCTCAACTAGCACTTATGAATGTCATACCAGATGTTATATTTGTTCCCTCGGCTACAATTTTGGCTATTAGTGCTACTAAGATCCTAAGATTAATGGTCAAGGGAAAGACAACATCTGAGGATGCAATTGAACAAGATCCTCAAACTCCAATTACACCTCCAACTGAACCAGATCAAACACCAATCACACCTCCAGCTGAACCAGATCAAACTCCAATCACACCTCCAAATGAACCAGATCAAACTCCAATTACACCTCCAGCTGAACCAGATCAAACACCAGTTACCCCTCCAGCTGAACCAGATCAAACTCCAATTACACCTCCGGCTGAACCAGATCAAACACCAGTTACCCCTGCAGCTGAACCAGATCAAACTCCAATTACACCACCAAGTGAACTAAATCAAACTCCAATTACACCTCCAACTGAACCAGATCCTCCAACTACAACTGAACCTACAGAACTAGATCCTCCAACTACACCTGAACCTATAGAAGCAGAACACCTACCTCGTCACGTTCACAAGGACAAAACCTTTTGTGCTTTATGTAATAAATTCCATTGAATAGCATTCAAATATCTTTCCTTCATTATGTATATGTTATTTATTGTTATAATTTCTTGTTATAAGAGGAAGAAAAGGTTACTATTTTTGTTTTTCTTTTATGCCATTTAGAGTTCAGGTAAATACGTGACTGCATTACCTCATTTTTCTTCCTATGCATTGATAGTTTAATAAGTATCAAATATTTATCAGTTAGTAATTATATTAGTGTGTAAGATTAATTTTTAAATATGACCGATATTATAGTTATTATAATTAAGTGTAAGAAAAATGCATAATATTTTTAAGTGCACGTGAACACACTTTCTTTCCTTAATTTATTTCCATATCCATGCTTGACTTGGTATATCTATTATTCCTAATTTAGAATATTATGGTTATTTCGATGAATGATAATTAGGTTCAAATAAAGTTGACTTTTCAAGCTTAGCATGTAGTTTACCTTTGTCTAAGTTTTTGATAGTTATAAAAAAGTATGTGTATGCTTTCTTAAAAATTTTCAGTCTATAGATCTATTGTTAGTATTATTGTTCCTTAGTTAAATTATCAATGCTGTGAATTGAATAAGTATTTTGGTTGTTTAATTAGGTGACTATCTAATTGCTAAAGCAAAGGAAGGAAGAACTAAAGGAAAGCAAGATCCACCGTCTAATGCTATGGCACTGAAGACTCAGAATTGAAAATGGAGCTTGGGAGCCTCCTCAGGATACCCAATGTGATGGCGTGTAATACTAGGCTAATGTTTATTCTCTGGACACCCCAGGCTGACATAATGACTGTACTGTCATGACACTAACATAAAACAAAAGGATAACATGGTAAAAAAAAAATAAAGACACTTCTATCAAACTAGAACTTTTTTTTCAAAGGACATCTTAGGATTTCAAAAAAGCATTGACGAGGATTATTTTATCTCCAATTTTTTTACGAATAGTTAAATCTCTTTGATTAGGATATTGATGTAGCCTGAATTTTTACTCGAGTGGATGATTATGTCGTAATTCTAAGGTTCTATTAATGATATTGAGAAATTATCTTTTGCTCTAAATGCTTTATCAAACTAGTCATTTTTTTTTTATTGATATTGTGGTTTATATTGATTGAAAAATTAATGTATGAAATAGACAACTTTTACATTTAACTACTTTGGAAATATTATAATGGGTCTTGTGGGCTTGTTTTAATTTTCGGAGACTTTTAACCATGGACCCTTGAGAAATAGATTAAGGAATTAACTGTTTTTCAAAATTCTAAGCAATACTAATGAAATAAGGAATGCATTTTCAATTAGTCAAGAAATATAACCACGAATTTCATGATAATAAACTAAATATTTTGTTTTTATTAAAATTAAAGCAATCAGATTAAGTGCTTCGGCAGGAGCAGAGGTAAATGGTGGCACACGTATGTTGGGCCCACCTCCAAGTTTTCAGCAATTTTATAAGAGTATTATATTTTATTTAATAAAAGAATTAAGCTCCTCTAAGTAAGTTAAAAGTTTAGAATCCACTTTTACAATGATTGTCAATTTTACAAATACAGAATAACCTTTTTAAATTTCAATACTCACCTTAAATATAAATATTATATCAGATGAATAAATAAGAATATGATGGTTAATTTTTTTAATCACATAACACTTTAGCCTTGACTTCCTTGCCTAAATTTCTCACTCTAGTCCCATTCATAAAATTTGAAAATGGACAACTTGATACATGATTCCATAATTATAAACTTTTTTGCAAACTAAATCTACATTAATTTAAATGTAAACTTTAAATTTGATGATGCAAATTTAAATTGATTCGTCTTAACGATTCTAATTTATTCAGAAAGGATAACAAACTTATTTAAAATTAACATCCAACTTAACAATGAATACAATTATTTTTACAATTTTTTTTTAAAAAATTATGCATACCTCCCTAGCATGCTCCATAGTTTACCACAGAATTTAGCAGACACAGATGGAACAGTTAAAGACAGCGAAAAACCAATGGGAGAGGCGTCACAGCCACAACGAACACTGTGGAGCCCCGAAGGAAGAAAATGCTTACACCTTCTTCAACGGAAGACGAAGAGCTTCAACACCCTTCTCCAAATCCATGGCTTCATGCTCCATAACTCTCTCCACAAAAACCTCAATCTCCTCACCACTTTCATCACAACCTGCGCTTCCCTCGCTGTCTCTTCTTCGCGTCCCAACAACGCTGTCGCCATTGTTCAACACGCTCGTCGTTTCTTTGATCTCATCGCCACCCACAACCGCGACCCATTTCTCTGCAACTCCATGATCAACACCCACTTCGCCATTCGCCAGTTCGTTGAGCCTTTCACCCTCTACAGAGATCTTTGTAGGGAAAAAACCGCGTTTACACCTGATGGGTACACATTCACGTTGCTTGCGAAGGGTTGTTCCGCTTGCATGGCCGCCAGAGAAGGCCTAGAGCTTCATGGGGTTGTTGTCAAAAATGGTTTTTGCTTAGATTTATATGTGGCAACTGCGTTGGTTGATATGTATGTGAAGTTTGGAGTTGTTGGTAGTGCAAGGAAGGTGTTTGATGAAATGTCTACGAGAAGCAGGGTTTCATGGACTGCTATTATTGTTGGTTATGCGAGGTGTGGGGATATGGACGAGGCTGGGAAGCTTTTTGATGAGATGCCTGATAGAGATGTTGCTGCTTTTAATGTGATGATTGATGGGTATGTGAAATTGGGGTGTATGGGTTTGGCTCAGAATTTGTTTGATAAGATGAGGGATAAGAATGTGATTTCTTGGACTAGTATGGTTTCAGGATATTGTCATAATGGTGATGTTGAATCTGCTAGGTTGATGTTTGATCTTATGCCTGAGAAGAATTTGTTTACTTGGAATGCAATGATTGGGGGCTATTGCCAGAATAAACGGCCCCATGAGGCGTTGAAGTTGTTTCGCGAGATGCAATCGGGTGCTACCGTGGAACCAAATGAAGTGACTGTTGTGAGTGTTCTTCCTGCTGTTGCTGATTTGGGTGCTGTGGATTTGGGTGGTTGGATCCATAGGTTTGCTCAAAGGAAAAGGATTGACCAGTCTGTTCGCGTCTGCACTGCACTGATTGATATGTATGCAAAATGTGGTGAAATCACAAAAGCAAAATTGGTTTTTGAGGAGATGGCTGAAAAGGAAACAGCTTCTTGGAATGCTTTGATAAATGGTCTTGCAGTCAATGGCTATGCAGAGGAAGCGTTGGAGGTATTTACAGCGATGATAAGGGAAGGGTTTAAACCGAATGAGATAACTATGCTTGGTGTATTATCTGCTTGTAACCATTGTGGCCTGGTAGAGGAAGGAAGAAAATGCTTCAAAGCAATGGAGAAATTTGGAATTGCACCTGAGATTGAGCATTATGGTTGTATGGTTGACCTTCTAGGAAGGGCTGGATGCTTGGAAGAGGCTGAAAATTTGATTCAGACCATGCCTTATGATGCTAATGGGATAATATTGAGTTCTTTTCTATTTGCTTGTGGTTACTTTAATGATGTTTCGCGGGCTGAGAGAGTGCTGAAAGAGGTGGTGAAAATTGATGAGGATTGTGCTGGAGACTACGTGATGTTAAGAAACCTGTATGCTACAGAGAAAAGGTGGACAGATGTGGAGGATGTTAAACAAATGATGAAGAAAAGAGGAACAAATAAAGAGGTTGCTTGCAGTGTTATTGAGGTTGATGGTAGCTTCAGAGAGTTTGCAGCTGGTGATTACTTTCATTCACATCTGGAGGTTATTCAGTTAACCTTGGAGCAGTTATGTAAGCAAATGAAAGCCGAAATAATCTGTTGACATTGAAAACATGAGAAAGCTGAAAGGAGAGGTCAAAGGGAAGTGAATGAAAATTGGAAAGTCAGAAGAACATATATGTATTCTTTTATCCCTTTCAAAATTTGAAGTCCATGTCGGAATCAGGCTCATAAGTGGCTAATCTTGGAAAATTTTGGTTTTAGACTAGTAGGTAAACGGTGGCAAGATTGGAACGCACATCGAATTTTATTGAAATATAAAATAACTGAGAACACTTTTGATCCATGAGGCTTGATAATTAATCTTGACCCAAGGCTAATTTGTTAGACCTATAATTTGAGTCTTGAAAATTGAAATTAAAAACTTAATGATTCAGGTGAGTCAAACTTCAAGTTGGTCCAACCCAAAACCATGTCAAATAACATGAAAATAATAGTTTTTAAAAATATATAATAAGTGACAAATTTTACGGTTTTTAACTTAATATTTTGTATAACATAATAGTATTTTATATTAATATAATTTTATTCAAAACATATATCGTAGAACACATTTTGTTTAAATTTCCTATTTTAAAACTTTTATGGCTTAGATCTAAACGATCTTTGAATTTATAATTAATCTACAGTCGAATCAATCTAGCCTTAACCAGATCTTAGTCGGTCAATGATCAGATTGGTTATAAGTTAAAAAACTGATCTGATGAAAATATCATGTGGTCACAAATAATAATAATAATGTTAAATTCAGGTGTAGATGAAACAGATCCACAAGCATCAAATACCTATTGAGAAATTGAGTTGACTAAAAATGGCACAAGTTAAAATGAAGATCGGTTTTTTTATATCGACCGAGGTACACTTTATATACCTGTTAGACTACTTACTAAATATCAGTTAGTTTTAACTGCCAGCTGCTACACAAAAGCAGCATGTTTTCTCTGCTTGCATGATTAACGTATATGAAATCAACAATTTAAGAACATGCTATTAGAAAGAACACAATCATCTTTTGTCAAAAGAATCCCATGATATGCCGCGACTATATAGAGCAAACTGAGAAGATTCATTCAATTCTTGATGCAACAATCCCTAACTAAATTAAGAAATAGTATTTCCTCTAAGAATAGAACATACTATGCTTATTTGCGTTATGTACAATTGAACTCATTTCTTGATGGAAGAAAAAGAAAGCCAGACACAACCAGAATTTACACAGTATGATGTCGCAACATTTTTTATAAATTCTCAGCTCCTCCAGTTGTCTCAAGAAACAATCAATTATTGCATGCAGATTCAGTTTTCCAGGTTATCTCCGCCTCCATCTCTTTGCACCAGACTTCTTCCTTCCCCTCTTTGTGTTCCTGCGAATATTTGATTTTGATGTAGAAGCTTTCAAAGTAGAAACGGCATTCTCTGTGTCCATATCAGATTCTGAGACTTGAATGGCAGAAATGGATTTCTGCTCTTCAACTGATTCCTTTGCTTTCTCCACAAACTGATTTCTAACATTCTCAAAATCATGCAACTCTTCATTAGCTGCCTGATTTTGTACAAGAATTTCATCCTTGATCTGGAGGCAGAAAGGAGGCAAGAAAGGACAACGTTACAATTTTACAATTTCTGTAATGATCCTAAAACATAGAGGGACAGAACAGTTTTTACCCTTTCAACATATAACCTTGTAGATGGATTGGTAGGGTAATGACTACTAAAATTTTTGTTATCAGCTCAAAATTTCAAAGAATCAAAGAAGCACTTATTAATAAGGGATGATAAAGGCATATGACGTGGCAGTTGGCACAACTAGGACTAACCTAGAATATAACATGGCAGGTCAAGAGTAATTTACATACAAATATTTTACCATACACAAGCATAAGAAAAATTTAAAATGAAGTCCCGAGGACATTCATTTGAAAAGTAAAATAAAAGGCTGTACATCTCATTTTTCTGCTGTGAATTGGATAGCAAGAAATGGGAACAGTCATAAACTGCATTATTGAAGTTCTGTTGCATCTCAATTCTTGTGAACAACTTTCTTAATGGATTGATGGAGTAAACAGAAGCTACAAAAACCAACATCATGGTGCAAGTAATGGAAAACCACCTCATCATAATGGTAGCCAATTTCAAGTACAACCACATATAATAGTTCATAACTCACAAATTAATGCAACCAAAACAGAAATTATAGTAACACACAAGTTGAAATTAATTTTGTATAAAAAAACTTACATTTTCTTGCAGAACCTCGAGGTGGGGCCTATTGGTGGTTTCAATAAAGGGAGCTATCCCTTCCCTAGTTGACAAAGTATTTTCAGTCAAAAGTAGATCTTCGGTGTTTAACTCAGATGTATTCTGTGATGAAGGATGAACAAAACTAACTGGAAGTGTGTTTTCATTGCCGGCAAAAGAAGCAGAATTATGGCCAGAATGATTAAATCCATCAGATGGTCCAATCATGCTCAATTGAGTTACAGAACAAAACTTTCCTGGATTTTCACTAACCACATTATCAATCCGAGCTTTCAATTTCTGAACTTGTGACTGTAGGTCTTCAATCTTTTGAATGATGTCATTGACTGCTTTATCATTATCTTCATGCTCTACAGAAGACCATATACTATTAAACTTGAGCTCCTCAATGTTATCTGCATTACCTCCTGATATCATTGAAACAGGATGCAACATTTTAGAATCTCACGGAAAGTGGAAACATATAACCATTGATTAAAACCTTTTTCGCATAATTCATGCCAATAAACACATGAAAATCTGTGTATGTAATTCATTCACCTTCTACAATTCACAATTTAACAATGAGATAAATTATAATAGCTACATACATAACAAAAACAGCATTATTTATAGTACTGCTACTCACTCAAGGCATCACCATGGAAATCTTCCAAACAAGCGTCATGACTATGGTTTTTGTTTTCTGAAAAGCAACACAAAAAGAGAAAAAGATTAATACAGAGGAGAAATGCATTGGAAAAAAATACAACCAACCAAGAAATGTCATACCATAGTAAGAGAATATACTATGGCTAGACATATATGATGATAAATCACGTTCTTCAGCCTTGTTCCTTTTCTTTCTCTTCATAACTTTATTCCTGCGATTGCCATCAGATATGGGTACTGATTTGACATTAAAATCATCCACTGAAAACTTTGAAAACTCAAGCTGCTTCATATAATCATATGCTGCAAGCTCTGTATCATATTTCAGTGCTAGAGAGTTAAGTTTCTTCAGTTGCAACTCTATCCACTTACAGCGCCACCTAATAGGATGAACGAACCTCCTCCAATGCACTGTGGTCGTCTTGTTCTTTCTGAATGGGTAATAGTGTAAATTGTCAAAAATGTAAGCAACTGATATTATAATCAAACACATAGCAGCTAAACAACATAATGTGGGAAATCAAACATGAAAACTATCACAACTCTAGTCAATGGCAACAAAGTTACAAAAACAACTGATAGACAAAATTTTACTTTTAAGACTGTATTACATAAAACTTATCAAAATAGAGAGAATAGAAGCAGATGATTCTTCTGTAATATCTACCTAGAAAGTAACCCTAAAAAGTGTTGCGCCAGACTTTCAAACATGTCTTTTATTAGGGCAAAAGGACGAAATTTAACTGTAAAAAGAATTGGATAATAATCCTTCTTCTCTGTATGGTGATAGTTTTCTTTCCCTGTTTTTTCGATGTTTTCAGCTATGTTTTCTAAATAAACAATACAAGAAGATTGAAACTGAGTCACAAACATACCTAACAGCAGTCTTACTCCAATCATCACACATTGGTGATTCTACTTCAGTGTCAGTGAATGCTGAGCCCAAGGCATCTTCTACACCAGATCCCGTATCACCAAAAGAACTGGAACTGGAACACTCAGTGTCAGTGTCATCCTCACAAGCATCTTCAACTGGCTTGCCACCAGAAATTATGCACCCACTTCCAATAATATTAACCTGAACATCCTCCTCATTTCCACAAGACAAAGAACTCTGTAAAATTCCCTTGCAGTTAGTTCCAGGTTGCAGAACCACCTGTTCTTTTGATTCTGAAAATGCAGGAACAGGTACATTTTCCTTTTCTAGGGTACCTTCTTCTGACTTCACATTGCTTGTACCCATTTTACAAAATCATCCAACTTTCCCTATTCAGATATAACAGCAATTATCAGACCACAGTGTGATGATTAAAATTGGACGCATTAGAATCTCCCATCCACTTTACAGAAAAATCAACTTGCCCCTGAAAACCCTTATGAAGAAATTGCAGGCCACCAGTTGTAAAATTATTAAAATTTTGAAAGAAAACATGTATAGTAAAAATTAAACAAGTATAATATAATCTTCATAGAACTAGGTTAGTACAAAAACATATGGTATCATAAAGGGGTTGTTATGATTTATCAAAAAATTAACACAAACCCAGAAATCAATAATTAGAGGAGAAAGGGAGAGAACACTTACTAAGGAAGAGATGAATTTCCTTTGCTGAGTAGAAATTGGGATTGTTGTTGAATGGTTGTTGATTTGGCAGCGCAGAACTCACAACACTTGGAACATATTGTTAAGCTTTCGTGGGTACTACTCTCTCGGAAGATATGAAAATATTTGTTATTATTTATTTTTAGTATAGACTCACAGGAATTTCCTCTGCAGTTATTTTTTAAAGAAATACATATTCAAAATAAATAATAAAATAAATTTTAAATATCAATGAAATAATAACATTATATCATATAATATTATCAAATACTATTATTTAAATGATGCAAAATTTATAAAGAAATTAAGTTAATAAAAAATAAGTTAAAACTTTGAAATTGCTCACTACATATACAGCGTAACTGCCATATAAGTTAAAATAATTAATATATGTAATAGTTACATATCAAAATCACATTTATTATAAATTTTAATTGATTCGTGAGTACAATTTTTACACTAAAATCATTTATATTTTTTTATACAAATTTTTAATAGATTATTTCATATTTTATAATTTTTTACAAGTTTTACATAGATTCTTTTATAATTTATTATTTAATAAAAATTTTAAACTAAAAAGTTAAAAATAATTTTATCAAATATCTAAAAGTTAAATATAAAATCTTTTCTTATAAAAGTAATGTTTTCACAAAAAGCATGACTACATGTTTAAAATATAACTTTTAAAAATTAAAATTTAGTAAATAATATGCATATATAGATAATAATTAAAATTATATATATATATATAAAGATGTTAAATTTAAAAAATTTGAGATTAACTCATTTAAATAATTCATATTACTTTTAAATTTAAACTTATTTATTTTAATAAATAAATAATTTAATTGAATATTTAATGAATTAATCTTGAATAATTTATGAATAAATCAATTTATTTATAAATGTTATGTAATTTTTTACACCTAGTATGTAATTTTTAATTTAATATTATTTTAAATATAAAAATTTAATCTTTTTAAATAAAATAAAATAATATTTATTATCAATAATCAAAATATTTTAATTTTAAATTTAATAATATTTGTGCAATCCATATGCAGTATATAAAAAGTTTCTTATTTTTTATTATATTAAATTTTTTTTAATTTTAAAATTGATTATTATATCAAATATGACAAGAAATTGTTATAGAATGTAAAGTCACTATATATTTATAATTTAATCAACTATCATGCAACATGTATTAATATTAATGTGTAATATCTTACATAAATATTAATTTTTAATTTTTTCGAATTACTTATTTATTTTATATAATAGAAAAATTATTATAATATTCATTAATTTTTTACTTTAATAAATATAAAAATAGTCAAATATTCTTAGAAACTAATTTTTTTTCTTAATATGTTATATAATTTCTCATATAAAGAATATTTATTTATTTTTTCACTAAATATTAATTTAAATTTTACTGATTTTAATTTTAAAAATTTATTCTCTTTAAATTAATTATATTTAATATAATAAATAATTAAATATAATAAAAATTAGATATAAAAATATTTATTAATAATAATTATAATATTTGCTTTTAAAATTAATTAAATTTTAGAAAATGATATAATGTATCTTTAATTAAAAATTAATTTTATTTTAATTTAAAAATACTTGTACAACATATGTACAATATAAAAAATATTAATTTTTATAATATTTTAATAAATAATGGTAAGATTTAGTATTATATTAAAACATGATAAGAGGTGGTTATATAAAATCAAATTATACATCTATAATTTAATTAATTATTACCTGATTGGTAATTAAATTTTAATAATATTTTTGTATAAGTTACAAAGTTCAATGATATGCTATAATAAATCATTAGCTAAGATTATAAACATTTGTAACATGTAATTATCTAATAATTTGTAAATGGCAAAATACTGAGTGAAGCATCAATTAAAGTTATATGAAATAATTGTGAAAACGAGAGAAACATGCATGGAGTGGTGTGATGATTGATGATTTATATTTTGTATTCATATTTATAGTTTTATTGCATCTTTTAAAATATATTTACTTCTTTATTTATTTCATTTAGCATGTTTTTTTATTTCTTGCATTAAATTAGAATTTTCATGAATACTTGTTATATTTACTTTATATTTTATATTTTCGCTATTCTAACATTTGTTTACTATTTTGGTCATAACTTTTTTTGTAGATCTCTTTTTTAGCTGATTCTTTTTGCAATTGATTCTTTACTTCCTGGGCTTCAATTTGGTGGATTGTACTGTTTGGAGTTCATAGCTATTTTCTATTAATTTTTTAAGTTCAAACTTAAAACATACCTTTTATATTTAGAGTTTTTATTTAGGGCTTTTATTATAATTACTTGGAGATGCTTTGGCCCATTTATTTCCATTTTCATTTAAGACTAGTATATATAGGGGTCAAAAGGTTGATGTTGCACATCTCTCCTTTTTTCACCTCTCTTCCTTTCCCTTTCATAATTTTGTTTTCATAATTTCATTTTTGGATAAAGACTTTTTCCTGTTTTTGAGAGAAAATCCTTTTTCGTTCCATTCGCATGCCTCTTTTTGAATTTTGTTGCATTTTAAATTATTTGTTTCTCGCGAATCATCTCGTCTCAAGGGTAGATTGCAAAATCGATTGATCTCTCCGAGTTTGTTTTTTTACTTTTTTGCAATTTTTGACTAAGATTGATGCATTCATAATTTGATTGAATTTGGTTTTATTCTTGAGTGTAATATTGATCGATTAATTGCTTTTACGTTCGAGATTTAGATAAATTTGGTATAGTAATCCTAGTTTACGTCTGTGATTCGTGATTTCAATGTGTGGTTTTAATTCTCGTTTTTGTTTTTCAATTCATTATGTGTTTTCGTTTTTATTTTTCAGTTCATTTTATTTTCAATTTGTGTTTGTTTTTGTTTTTCTGAGTTAAATTAAATTTATTTTTGTTTTTAAATTCGTTTTTAGTTATTAGATCCGTTTTCAAATTTTAAATTCGTTTTCAGTTTTAGATTTGTTTTTAAATTTTAAATTCGTTTTCAGTTTTAGGTTCATTTTCATTTAAATTACTTTCATTTTAAATTCATCTTTTAATCACAAAATCGTTCAAATTAACCACCGTTGCATGTTTAAAATTGAAAACATAATGAATTTGTGTTTGTATGAGATGACCTAAGTTTGCTCTCTATATTACAAAATTAATTGAAAAATTTAATTTTATTTAACACCATTACGACATGTCGGTGGAGGGAAGCCGAGCGAAGAAAATTGGATGGGAGCAATGCATGAGAAAGCACGCTGCCTGAGTGATGGTACGTTTCGCATTGATGGCACAAGATTTCTTGTGTTACAAATTAACTCATCTTGTGCTACAAATTAATGCATCAAACACATCGATTCTATTGTCATTTACAAGTATAAAGCATGCAACTCTAGAGTGCTTCCTTGCTTGCTGCTACTGTTGTTGCTTTGCTATTTTGTTAGAAATGAGTAATCGAAGTTTGTTTGCGCTTGTGCTCTTCTTCGTTGTGTTCATGGCACGAGTGCAGTCTCTTCCTTTCATTGTTTTGCATGATAACTATTTGTAGTTCTATTTTTTATTTTTTGCTTATTTTAACTTTCACATACTAGTAGTTCTCCTAAATATGCATTTTTTTAATTTTTTTAATGCTTTTTACTGCTATATCTTATGTGTCATCTATCAACCGGTGCTATGATCTGATAAGATTTAATAATAAATAAATATTTTGTTGTTTATTTTGTTTTTCATGGTTAATTGTTGCTTATTTATGTTTATCTTAATTTCTTCATTGTTAGCTTGTTGCTTGAGTTGTTTATCTTGTATCATGATCATTGAAATTTGTCAACTCAAATCTTTAATTTATTTTATTTTATTTTGTGGTTTATTGTTGTTGACCGAGCCTCACCTAGTACAATAGGACTTAGTTGTTGTTGTTAGATGAAAAAGTGTGATTATAGTTGTTGATGAGACAATCAAGGATATAAATTTTAGTAACCTTATAATTCATTATACTGATGCATGTATCTCACCATGAACTTATAGATTAATTTTCTCATTAATGGTTATAACTCTTCATTTTTCCTCTAGAGTGAACCATTCACATAAAGGAGTCAAATGTAGGGGTATGAATCTTCAGGTTAACTCTGAAGTTTGTATAAAAATTGTGCTCTTGCTAACTTCGTCTTAGAGGCACTGATGGCATGTCATGAACAAACTATCCTTACTGCTTAAGGTTTGAGGTGAAAATTAATAAATTGTTTTATATATGGCAATTTTAATATCCATAAAATTATTAGTAATGCTATTATGAATCAAGATAGTGAGAGATTGACATTTGAGGGAGTAAATATTCTATATGAGGATTAGTTGACCAAACAAGTGCATGAAGTGAAAGAGTAACATGATCATCTCTAGTTTCATTTAATATACCTTTTGGATCCAAATCTATTTTAGGTTTATTATCAACCTCCATCTTATCGACAAGTTCAATCACCAACAAACTTCTTTACTTACAACAATGGTTCTTATTAGGGGTGGGTAACGGGTGGGTTAAGTCAGTTTCAGGTTCAAAAATTTAGAACTGATTAAATTAAATATACAAATATTTTAGGCTGAAAGTAATTATAAATTCATTGGGTTGATTCGGGTGTCAGATAAAAAAAAATTGGTTTGATCGAGTGGATTTTTACGGTTTGTATATTTTTTTATTTGAATACTTAAGGTTATTTTTATTTTTTATAAAAGCAAATTTTACAAAAAAAAATAAAGTAAACTTTCCTTTTATATATCTTAGACCCTTAATAATAAATAGTTATTTGCTTTACTTAGTCCTAATAAAAAAATTATTTAAAAACCTCATTATACATGTATATTTTACAAGTTTATATATTTACAACTCATAATTTCTGATTATACATATATATTTCAATTTATTTATAAATTTGCAACTTTACGTGAGTACTAAAAAATAATTAACTGTTTGAGCTAATTAATTAAAACAATTTTTTTAAATTAATATGTTCATTGTCTAGCAACAGATACTTGATAATCATGAGATCAATCAAATAAAAAAATAACTTAAAAAATAAATTAAAATAAGTTTGCTTCTTCCAACTCTGAGCAAAA